GGTAAAGTGTTGGCCTCATAGAATGAGTTAGGGACTACTCTACTGCTTCTGTATTCCGGAAGAGATCATAGAGAATTAGTATAATTTCTTCCTCAAAAATTTGGTAGAGGGGCTCCTGGGTGGCTCAGTGGGTTAAGCCTCTGCCTTCGGCTCAGGTCATGATCCCAGGGTCCTGGGATCGAGCCCCACGTCGGGCTCTCTGCTCAGCAGGGAGCCTGCTTCCTCCTCTCTCTCTGCCTGCCTCTCTGCCTGCTTGTGATCTCTATCTGTCAAATAAATAAATAAAATCTTTAAAAAAAAAAAATTTGGTAGAATTCACCAGTGAAGTCAGCTGGCCTGGGTATTTTCTGCTTCAGAAGGTTCCTTTTTTTTTTATTGATTGAATTTCTTTAATAGATGTTGGCCTGTTCATGTTATCTATTTCTTGTGTGAATTTTGGCAGATTATTTCTTTCTAGGAATAGGTCCATTTTACCTAGGTTATCAAATCTGTGATGATAGGGTTGTTCATAATATTTCTTTGTTATCACTTTTGTGTCTGTGGGATCTATAGTGATGTCTCTTCTTTCATTTCTGATATTGGAAATTTGTGTCTTTTTTTCCCTCAGCCTGGCTAGAAGCTCATCATTTTTATGATCTTTTCAAAGAACCAGCTTTTGGTTTCATTGATTTTTCTTACCGATTTCCTGTTTTCAATTTCATTGATTTCTGCTCTTTTATTATTTCTCTTTTTATGCTTGCTTTAAATTTAATTTGCTTTTCTTTTCTAGTTTCCTAAGGTGGAAGCTTAGATTACTGATTTTCTAATATATGCATTCATTGTGGATAAACTTCCCTTTAAGCACTGTGTCTGCTTTACACAAGTTGTGTTTTTCATTTTTAGTTAGTTCAATATATTTTTCAAATTTCTCTTGAAATTTCTTTGACCGTGTGTTACTTAACAATGCGTTGTTTAATCTCCAGATACGTTGGGCTTTTCCAGTTATCTCTGATGTTGATTTCTAGTTTAATTCTGTTATAGTCTGGAACAGACAGCGTATGATTTCTGTCCTTTTAAATTTGTTAAAGTGGATGTGGTCTTTTGCCATGTGAGCTTGAAAAGAATGTATGATCTGCTACTGTTGTGGAGTAGTCTATAGATTTCATTTGTATCTGGCTGATTGGTGGTGCTTTTGAGTTCAGCTGTCTTTCCTAATTTTCTGCCTGTTAGATCTGTCCATTTCTTATTAAAGAGTGTAAAAATAGATATTTTTTTCTTGCAGTTCTATCAGTTTTGCCTCACTTATTTTGATTCTCTTTTGCTAGGCACACACATATGAAGGCTTATTGTGTCTTCTTACCCATGTAAGATACATGGACCCATGTATCTTGGAGTGGTGACTTATTTGTCCCTCACCTGATGCCCCTCTTCATCCCTGAGAACTTTCCTTGCCTTGAGATCTGCTCTGCCAGAAGTTAATATAGCTACTCCCTCTTTCGCTTCTTTTCTCTCTTTCTTTCTTCATTCCTTCAAGTGTTTGTTAGAAAATGTAGATAATAAGTTTTTAAAAAAAATTCTATTTGACCAGTTACTAGCTATATTGCTTTGGGCATGTTATTTGAATATTAGTTTTTTCCACTAGAAATGGCATCTACTAGCAGGTGCAGTGGTGTTAAGAAGTACATGGAGGGGCGCTTGGGTGGCTCAGTGGGTTAAAGCCTCTGCCTTTGGCTCAGGTCATGATCCCAGGGTCCTGGGATCGAGCCCCACATCGGGCTCTCTGCTCAGCAGGAAGCCTGCTTCCCCCCCTCTCTCTGCCTGCCTCTCTGCCGGCCTCTCTGCCTTCTTGTGATCTCTGTCTGTCAAATAAATCTTTAAAAAAAAGTACATGGAAATTGCCTTGTGTGCTATGATTTCCTTTCTACGACTGTTAGCATGATTATCTTTCTCTGTCCCTTTACTTTAAAAATTTTTTTTTAAGATTCATTTATTGAGAGCAGGCAGAATGAGGTGGGGGATAGGCAGAAGGAGAATCTTAAGTAGGTTGTGCTGAGCATAGAGCCTGACGTGGGGCTCGATCTCACAACCCTGAGATTAACAACCTGAGCTGAAACCATGAGTCGGATGCTTAACCAGCAGGCACCCAGGTGCTCCTCCATCCCTTTACTTTAATCCTTAATGTGTCTTTACTTTTAAAGTCAGTTTCTTGTAGACAGCATATAGTTGGGTCTTGTTTTCTGATTCACTCTCACAGTTTATCTTTTATTTGGTGTATTTAATCATTGACATTTAAGGCGACTATTGATATAAGTGGATTAATTTCTACGGTTTTTTCCTTTTTTGAGAATAAGAGAGCACGCACATGAGCAGTGGGGAGGGGCAGAGGGAGAGAGAATCTTAAGCAGGCTCCATGTCCGGCCCAAGGTGGGACTCAGTCTCACAACCCTGAGATCATCACCTGAGCTGAAGTCCAGCGTTGGGCACTTAACCGAGCCACCCATGTGCCTCCCTGCCATTGTGGTTTTTTGTTTTTTCTTCCTTTTTTTAAGATTTTTATTTATTTGACAGAGAGAGGGACAGCAGGAGAGGGAACACGAGCAGAAGGAATGGCAGAGGGAGAAGCAGGCTTCCCACTGAGCAGGGAGCTCCCCCCACCCACGCAGGATGCCAGGATGCTGGGATCATGACCTGAGCTGAAGGCAGATGCTGAAAAACTGAGCCACCCAGACACCCCCACCATTGTGGTTTTCACTGAGCATTTTATATAATGCCATTTTCTCTTTCTCCTTAGCATATCAAATTATTCTTTACATTTTTTAGTGGTTGCCCTAGAGCCTGCAATACATATTTACTACTAATCTGAGTCCACTTTGAGGTAACACTTCATGGGTGTGTAAGTACATTATAATAGAATATTACCAATTCTTCGCCCCCACCCCTTGCATCATTACTGGCGTTTGTTTCACTTATGTGTAAACATACATAAGCATATATACACATGTAAACATACATAATTGAATAAATCATTGCTATTATTTTGAATAAACTATTAGATTAGTTAAGAATAAGAAACATAAAGGTTTTAATTTCGCCTTCACTTATTCTCTGATGCTCTTTGTTTCTGTAGATCCCAGTTTCTGACCAATATGCTTTTCCTTCTCAAGATCTTTTCTAACATTTCTTGCAAGATAAATTTAATGGTGACAAATAACCCTCCATTTCTCTTTGAGAAAGCCTTTATTTCTCCTTCACTTTCAGAGAATAATTTTGTAGGTTCAGGGTTTTACGATGGTAGGTTTTTTCCTCTCAACAGTTTAAATATTTGCTCCACTTTCTTCCTTTTTACATGGTTTCTGAGAATTTAGATGTAATTCTTATGCTTACCTTTTCTGCTCAGTAGGGAGGATGTTTTTCTCCACTGATTTCTTTCATGATTTTTTTATCTTTGCTATTTCAGGTTTCTGAAGTATGAGTACGATACGCTTATGTATAGTTTTTGGCATTTGTTCTGCTTGCTGTCCTCTGAGCTTTCTGGATCTGTGATTTGGTGTCAGACATTAATTTGGGGGAAACTCTCAGTCATGATCACTTTAGGTCTTGCTTCTGTTCCTTTCACTCCTGCTCCTGGTTGTCCCATTTCTTTGGCCCTGGCCCGCAGTTCTTGGGTATTCTGTTCTTGTCCCCTGGTCTTTGTTCTTCTTGCCTCGCAGCTTTGATTGTTTCTGTCGCCAGATCCTCAAGCTCAGCAGTTCTTGCCTCAGCCGTGTCCAGTCTCCTGACGAGCCCACCAGAGACATCATCCTTCATCTCTGTCAGTGTTTTCTGGTCTCTGGCATTTCTTTTGATTCTTAGAATTTACATTATCATCTATTCTTTTTTTTTTTTTTTTTTTTTTTTTAAATACAGTGAGGGAGAAGGAGAAAGAGAATCTTAAGCAAGCTCCATGGCCAGCATGGAGCCCAAGGCAGGACTTGATCTCAGAACTGTGAGATCATGACCTGAGCTGAAATCAAGAATTGGATGCTAAAATGATTGAGCCACCCAGGCCACCCCCATTATCATTTCTTCCATGCCCTACTTTTTCCATTAAACACATAGTATATTAATTACCATTTTTAAAAAATTTCCTGGTGTGATAATTTCAACATTCTTGCCATATCTACCTCTGATTCTGATGCTTATTCAGTCTCTGTTTCTGGCCTTTGTTGAGTGTACCTTACAATTTTTGTTGTAAGGTGGACATGATGTAGGTGAAAGGAAGAGTCAGCAGTAAGAAGGCCTTTGGTAATGTGGTAAGTTATGGAGGAGGGGGACCTTTCTGTAATCCTGTGATAGCCTCTCAGTCTTCTGGGGAGGTTTGGCTCCTGGACTATGAACCATACACATGCTTCTCAGTTCCCCCCACCCCCCCTAGGGGGGACAGGATGGCCAGAATGGGCTGTAGTTGGTTATTTTTCTTCCCTCAAATAGTTCTATTCTGGTAATAAGAGACTTTCTCCAAGATCAAGCCTTGTTAAGATCGAAATGTTCTGGTATATTTCAAAATAGTTTATTTCCTCCTCCTTGTGCTGGAAGCATGAATGCATTTTCTCCATTACTGCTGTGAGGGCCAGAAGGGCTCCTTAGAGGTAGAACTCAACAAAGTGTGGGGGTCCCCCTTAAGATGTGTTTCCCCTAGAGTAGTTATCTCTCAGAGCTGTCCACACTGAGCCTGAAGCAGCCCATCAGTTCCAGTTCAGTGTTTCCTCTCCTGGCCCTGAGCTTTGTGCTCCTGTCACTTGTGATAATGGGAAGGTTTGAGTTTTTAGCTTGCTTTTTACTCATTAGGATCAAGTAGTGACTTCTAAGTTCCTTACATGCCAAACTGGAAACCAGAAGTCACAAATGAATTTTTCATGTTCTGCCACTTGGGGTTTTAGGTTCTGGGCTTTATTTATTACTTGTTTGGGGAAGTTTTGCTGTTTAGAATTGGCTTTCCAGAATGTTTTTGCTCTCTTAATATGCCTTTTTACTTTGTATAGGTGGCACAGGAGTGGATCAGCTCTCCAAACAAAGAGAAATTCTATCAGCTGCACTTACGAAAATTTCCTGCTGATTATAAAAAATACTGGGAGTTTGTGGGTAAGTTCTTTCTTCTGTAATTTGAAATATATAGTAATTGGAGATTTCTGTTTGAGGAAACCTTATCGTCACTTGAATTTTCTGGGACATAGGACATAGGTGAATTTGTAACCTCTTAAAAGGAATGTTTTAAGTCTTAGTTAGAGGGGTGCCTGGGTGGCTCAGTCGTTAAGCGGCTGCCTTTGCCTCAGGTCATGATCCCAGGGTCCTGGGATTGAGCCCCATTTTGGACTCCCTGCTCAGCAGGGAACCTGCTTCTCCCTCTCCCACTCCCCCTGCCTGTGTTCCCTATCTCACTGTCTCTCTCTCTCAAATGAATAAATAAAATATTCAAGGAAAAAAGAAGTCATAATTAGAATAATTACTGGGACAGTCATGAATATAAAATTCATGGTTTTAACCATTCTGTAGTTAGAGTACCACAGGCCAGAGTGGAAGCTGGATATGGAAGAGACAGTGAGTGAAGGGAGCTTGACAAGATTGGTTGGGGGAGGGCGTCCCCAAAGCCCTCCCCCAAATAATAGTGTTGATAGATTCTGAGTAAATCTTCCTATTTTCTCATTTCATCATTGGTCTGAAACACATATCACACTTAGGCATTAGTTATTAATCAACCAAACATTCAGAACTCTTTAAAACAAGAAGTATAAATCCTCTTTTGCCTCCCCCTCTTACCCCCAATCCATCCTGCGCCATAGAGGCAGTTAAGATAAAAAGCACATGTGTGTATATTTTGGGGGAAAGGTACTATATGTTCATTGTAGGACACTGAAATAATATTAGTCAGCAGAAAAAGAAATTTCACCAATTCCAATCATTCCAAGATAGTCCTATGAAAATAGTAGTGTATATCTTACTGTGAGACTGTCTACTCACCAGTGTGAATTGTGTGTATGTGAATGTAGTAGGGTCATTTTACCTATACGTTAATGACATTTTTCATTCATTCAGCAAATGGTTATTATATTTATAGTTCCTTATAGGATATGGTTTTAGATGCTAGGTATATAGCTGTGAAGAAAACAAAAGATTCCTGCCTTCATGAAACTTACATTTTATTTAATTTTATTTAATATATTGTGTCTTTTCAGAATTACTAAATAACAGTATATTTAATATTTGTGGTTATTCCATTGTAAGTATATTCTACAAATCACTTAACCAGTGGTGTCTAGTTAGACATGTACATTGTTTATAGTTTTCCCTGTCACGAACACTAGGTCAGACAGTGTGTATATTTTAAGACTTGTTCCCTATTGGCTCTGCCTACGGAAAGGAACATCAGTTTCACTTCTAACAGGAAGATGTAAGATGTAAGAATGTACATCTCCCTCATTTGCTAGCTTCAACTTTGTTTTCCAGTTTTATGTATGTAAAGTGTATCTCATCTGAGGTGGTAATTTTGTTTCCAAATCTTTTTTGATCATGAGTATTCTTAGTGAGGGGAATGTGGGGATAATTGTTCATGCCCTCTGCCCCTCCTCCTCCTCCTTCCCTTTTTTTTTTTTTAAAGATTTTATTTATTTTGAGAGAGAGTACAAGAGTGAGGTGAGGGGCAGGAGGAGCAGAAGAGGGACAGAAGCAGATTCCCTTCTCTGCAGGGCTTCATCCCATGACCCTGAGATCAGGACCTAAGCCGAAATCCAAAGTTGATCACTCAACCTACTGAACCACCCAGGCGCCCCCCCCCAACCTTTTTTTTTGCTAGGGATGTTGTTTTCTTCTTAATGTATGTGCGTTGTAAATTGCTTTTCGCAGTTTGTTACTGATTTTGAGGCATAGTTTCTACACGTGTTCAAAACTGTACTAATTTCTTTATGGTTCTGACTTTGGGTTTTTGTTGTTGTTCTTTTTGTTTTTTGTTGTTTTTTAAGATTTTTAAAATTTATTTTTGTGAGAGAGAGAGTGTTCCGAGCATTGGGGTGGGGTTGGTGACGGGGCAGAGGGAGAAATAGACTCCATGCTGAGCAGGGAGTTCAATGTGGGGCTCAGTCCCAGGACCCTGGGATCCTGACGGGAACCAGAGGCAGACACTCAACCCACCGAGCCACCCAGGCCTGAGTCTGGTATTTCTCGTAGTAGTTTTGTATTTCTTTTAAATATTTAAATCACGAATTTATCTGGCATTATCTTGATCATAGTATCTACTCTTTAACTTCTTTCATTTAACCTGTGTGTAAACTTGACCAGTCTTGTGTGGCATCACAACGTTCAGCGATTCACTAGGACAACTCACAGGAATTAACATATATTCATGCTCATGGTTGTGACTGTTATGGTAAGAGGCTACAAAGCAGAATCAGCAAGGCGAGAAGCACATTGGCGTGAAGGGCGGACGACACTGGGAGCAAGCCCGAGAATCGTCTCCCAGTAGAGTCATATGCAGTGTACTTTACTTCCTAGTAATGAGCTGTGCAATGCATGGCTGGCAGAATGTTCCCCACTAGGGAAGCTTGTTGGAGATTCGTGCCCAAAACACCCTCTGCCGGCCTGAATTCCTGACTTCAGAAGGATAGCAGGCGTTTGGCACAGACCATATTCTTTTTGCAAACACTTGAGGCACAGCGAGCCATTCTCATTAGCAAATGATAATCCCAGGATCAAGGATCCCACATGCCAAGGGCCACCCTTGAATGCAGACCTTTCTAAGGACAGCAGCCTCGGGTGTGCTATGTTAAGTCTGTGACACAGCATTTCATGAACAGTTCCACTGCGATGTTCCTGTCTCAGTGTTGGTGTGAGGGCATTTTGTTGCGTCCTGTGGTGGATTTTGGAGTCTCTGGGTATGTGTGTGTTCAGGCTGACTAGGTCGCGCCTGGCCCGTTCAGCATCACACCCCACCGACAGTGTGCGAGAAGTCACGTGGTTCCAGGTCTCCACCAGCACGTTTGTACTGACCGCCATGTTAGTTTTACCCATTGTGCCATGTTTGTATTGATGGCCTTTTGTGGTTTTATTTTGCCATACCCTTGTTTCCAGTGAGGGTGAGCACCTTTTTATGATTTAGTAGATGGTTCAGTAATCTCTTTCGGGAAGTGCCTGTTCAAAGTTATTGTTAATTTTCTGTTACCTCTTTCTTACTGATTTGTAGGAGTTCCTTATATGATCTGGATACACGCCATTCTCTCAGTTTGGCTTGCATTTTGACTCTCACTGATGTCTTTAAAAATTTTATTCCTCTTAAAAATTTTATTATTTATGTAAGTCATCTGTACACCCAATGTGGGGCTCAAACTCATGACCCCAAGATCGAGAGTTGCATGCTCCCCCAGGCAAGGCCAGCCAGGCGCCTCTAGAATTTATTTTTTATTTTTTTTTTTTAAAGAATTTTATTTATTTATTTGACAGAGATCACAAGTAGGCAGAGCAGCAGGCAGAGGGGGAGGGAGAAGCAGGCTCCCCACTGAGCAGAGAGCCCCATGCGGGGCTTGATCCCAGGACCCTGAGATCATGACCTGAGCCGAAGGCAGAGGCTTTAACCCACTGAGCCACCCAGGTGCCCCTAGAATTTATTTTTAACATAGCAAATGCATCTTTCTTTCTTTCTTTTTTTTTTTTTAACTCACAACCCTGAAATCAAGACCTGAGCTGAGATCAGTAGTTGGACACTCAGTGGACTGAGTGAGCCACCCAGGTGCCCCTCTCTATTTTTTTTTAATGGTTAGTGTTCTGTACCTCATTTAAGAAACCTTTCCCTGCTGCAGATCATAAATATATTATCTTAACATCTAGAACAGGTGTCCGCAACTCCAGCTTGCGGATCTACCGCATATCCTGTTTTTGTACTGCCCTAGAGTAAGGTTATGTTTTTAAAGATACATTTTTTTAAGATTTTATTTATTTATTTGAGAAAGAGAGGATGCATGAGCCAGGGAGGAGCAGAGGGAGAGAGAGATGCAGACTCCCTGTCAAGCAGGGAATACGACGCAGAACTTGATCCCAGGACCCTGGGATGCTTTAACAGACTGAGCCACGCAGGTGCCCCAAAGAACTTTGAAAAAAAGATGATGAATATGCTGCAGACCCTGTATGTGGCTTGCAAAGGAGAAGTTTGGCTCTTCACAGAAAAAGTTTTCAGCCCCTTTTCTAGAGAGTTCATCGTTTTGTCGACCTGGAATTTATTTTTACGCATGAATGGGATGTGTAGGGGTCATGTCTCATTTTTTTTTTCCAAATGGAGTTGTGGTCATCCCAATATTATTTATTGAAAAAAAATCCTCTCCATGCTCTGCAGTGCCATATTTGCCGTAAATCTAGTGTCCATTTTACTCATGGATTTCTTTTCTGGACCCCGTTCTTCTTTGGATCATTTGCCTACCCTTGTGCCCACATCACATTGCCTAATGACTTAGTCCAGCTTTATAATGAGTTTTAATAGCCACATGGTTTTGCCTTAAGAGTGCCTTGGCTCTTCTTGGTTGAGTTCCCATATAAATTTTAGAGGAAAAAAATGGGGAAATTGGGCAAGAATTGACACCTTTCTAATAATTTTCTAATTTGTGAATAAGAATTATATCCAGTTATTTTGCTTTATTTTCAGTCATGTTTTAGAGTCTCTGATGGAGAGGTTTTGCAGATCTTCTTTGGTTTGATTTTTGTGGGGCTGGGGCGTCATTTGTAATTCAGTGTAATTCAGTGAATTTGTATCTAAAAGATACAGACATCTAAGATTTTATAATAAGATAACATTTTATTGCTAAAGTATTAAGTTATCCCTTAATGTCAGATAGCTAGTCAGTGTTCAGATTTCCAATTTCATTATTTTTTTCAGCCAGTTTGAAATAAGGTCCAAGTTAGGTCCACACATTAACACTAGTTGATGTCTTTTTGAACTGTAATTTTCTAATTCTGCTTTTTTTTTTTTTCCCCTTTGTAATTTGTTTGTTGAAGAAGCTGAGTTGTTGATCCTTTAGAATTACTGTCTGTACTTGTTGATTGTGTCCCCCTGGTGTTTGGTGGTATGTTTTTCTCTCCTCTGCATTTCTTAGAAATTGATAGTTGTATCTAGAGATATGGTCCGATTCAAGTTTGATTTATAATTTTTGGCAAAACTGTCTCATAGATGGTGGTATATATTCTTTTATCAGGAGGTGAGTGATCTCTAATTTCTCTTTTAGTAATCTTTGTAGCTGTGGATGCTTAATACCTAAATTAGTTTATTAAAGGTACAAAATGGTGACATTTTTATTTGATCATTTCATTTATTAGTTGGAATAATTCCATAAGGAAATGTCTATATATTATTTGGTTATTCAGTAGTGTGCTTTATAAAGAAAGTTAGAAAAGTACTTGACTCTTGACCAGTTTTAAAAAAGTGAATTAACCTGAGTTAATTCACTGCAAGCACTGGTGTTGACCAATGTGTTTTTTTCTTTTTAATTTCATAAATTCGTGGACTTAAATATACTTGTGTTTCTATCCAGTATAGTTTAAGCCCTTTAGGTAGGACCCTTACAAGTCTTTGAGAGCTGACTTGCTATCTGATATGACCAATATCATCTGTATTCTTTTATCCTGTATCTGAACTTGCACTTTTCTAAGTAGTCTTAGAATCCTGTAGAAGAAAACGGTATTTCAAGAATAATATGATTGAGGGACGCCTGGGTGGCTCAGTTGGTTGGACGACTGCCTTCGGCTCAGGTCATGATCCTGGAGTCCTGGGATCGAGTCCCGCATCGGGCTTCCAGCTCCATGGGGAGTCTGCTTCTCTCTCTGACCTTCTCCTCGCTCATGCTCTCTCACTGTCTCTCTCTCTCAAAGAAATAAATAAAATCTTTAAAAAAAAAAAAAAAAAGAATAATATGATTGATAGAGTAATACACTATATGTATGAATAAGTAATACATGTAAACATAAGAATACAGAAAGGCTGAAAAAAAAAAGTTTGGAGAAGGACACTCACACAAACCCTATTAAAAAAGGATGTGTTTAGGGGTGCCTGGGTGGCTCAGTGGGTTGGGCATCCTGCTCTTGAGGTCGGCTCAGGTTGTGACGTCAGGGTCACAGGGTCAGCCCCACATCTGGCTCTGCGCTCAGCAGGTAGTCACCCATATGTGCACACACTTTCTCTCTCTCTCTCTCTCTCAAATAAAATCTTTTAAAAAAAGATGTTTAGCTTTGTTAATATCAGACTAAATAGATTGTAAGACAAGAAGAAACCTTACGTACAAAGGGAATTTTGCATGAGTTTAGTTCAGCAGAAGAGATGACAAGTCTCAATGTCTACATACCTAACAGAATATATAAAGAAAAAACTAAGTGGCACCTGGATAGCTCAGTCAGTTAAGTGCCTGCCTTTGACTCAGGTCCTGGGATTGAGTTCTGTGTCGGGCTCCGGAGCGTGCGTCTCCCTCTCCCTCTGCTGTTTCCCTGCTCATGCTCTCTGGTGATCTCTCTCTCTCTCTTTCTCTGGCAAATAAATAAAATCTTTAACAAAAAACCTGATAGAACTAGAGTATACTTTGTACAATATATATGAGACTTTGAACTGTTAAATAACCACAGGTGAATTTTTGAAAGTGAACCATAAAATGAAACACAAAGAAGTAAGTGAACCTAATCGTATATTACATGTATTACCTTTTGTTTTGGTTGAATACTTCTACTTTTTTTCTCATTTTAAAATTTTACTTTTTCTTCTTGTTTGGAAATTGTATCTCAATTTACACATCTTTTGCTATTTTAGAACAATAAGGTTAAAACTTAAAACATGCACCCTTGAGTTATCAAAATCTATAGTTTTGTTTTTTTTTTTTTTCCAAAGATTTTATTTATTTATTTGACAAAGATCACAAGTAGGCAGAGAGGCAGGCAGAGATAGAGGAAGAAGCAGGCTCCCCGCAGAGCAGAGAGCCCAATGTGGGATTTGATCCCAGGACCCTGGGATCATGACCTGAGCCGAAGGCAGAGGCTTTAACCCACTGAGCCAGCCACCCAGGCGCCCAAAATCTATAGTTTTAGTAGCTCTTTTGAGTGTCTCCGTAGGTGAGGCAAAACCTTTTAAACTGTGTGAGATATAATCTATAGCTGCCAGACAGTCCTTGGTTGTTTATGAATCCTACCAGTTGGTGTGTTTCTTCTCTCCATGTGCCTTGCTTATCTCTGGCGAGTGTTGGTCTTTTGGAAAATCACTTATAAAACTAATTTGAGGCCTGGGATGATACTATCTTCCTCCAAAGAGGATTTTCCTCTGTTTCTGCCAGACTTCTGGGGGCACCTGTGATGTGGGATCATCTAGATCTGGTTTAAGGGATTGGGCTTTTCTAAAGTGCCCAGCTGTTTGGAAGCTGGGCTGTCGCCCATGTCAAGGCAGGTTTGCTGCTTCCTCATCCTGGGGCGTAGTCCTGAGGCCTCCTTCATAGTCCCAGTGTGAAGCATATAGAGGTGCCTGGGTCCCCACTCCCATTCTGTACAGGCCCTGGACTCCAGTTTTTGTCTTTTTAGTCCAACAAGGCCGTCCCAGGTATGGCCTGGCTTCTTGGCTATCACTCCAGGAACGGTTCACATGTCTCTAGGGGGAAATGACAGGGCTGCCTCCACTGGATTTCCACATTCCTCTGGATCTCAACATAGTAGTTCTTCACTGTTGTAATTGCTCTCTGATATCTTCACATAGATCTTTCTTGCCTGCCAATTTTTATTTATTGTTTTAAAAATATTTTATTTATTTTGAGAGAGAGGGTGCGTGCATAAGCAGTGGGAGGGGCTGAGGGAGAGGGAAAAGCAGACTCCCCACTAAGCAGGGAGCCCGATGAGGTGCTCCATCCCAGGACCCCTGAGGTCATCACCTGAGTCGGAGCCACCCAGGCGCGCTCCATACCTGCTACTTTTTAAAATCTTGTCTGGAGTTACTGGTTCTGTCTACCTAAACCCAGTGCCTCATATTTTAGTTCACTGTTACTGGATCTGGTGGTTGGTGCTCAGCTTTTTTGTTGTAATACTCGCTGTTTTCCCAGCCCCAGTAGTTTACAACTAGCCTTTCCACCTTGTTTGAAATGCCACAAGTAGGCTCAAATTTCTTATATGTCCTTGGATCTGTTTTGGGGTATTCTTCTGGGATTCTGAAAGTGAGGAGCAAAAAAGAATTTCTTGGTTAAAAACTAAAACTTTAAGGAAAGGAAATTTACTAGCTACTTTTGAATATTGTGATTTTATTTTGGCTTTTTAGCTGTTTTTTGGTAAAGATTTTATTTATTTATTTGACAGACAGAGATCACAAGTAGGCAGAGAGGCAGGCAGAGAAAGAGGGGGAAGCAGGCTCCCTGCTGAGCAGAGAGCCAGACTGGGGGCTCGATCCCAGGACCCTGAGATCATGACCTGAGCTGAAGGCAAAGGCTTAACCCACTGAGCCACCCAAGCGTCCCCTTTTTAGCCATTGTTAAGAGGCATTTTATAATACTGTATAATCTGTATTTGAGAATGTTGACTGACTCAGAATATTACTTTGAAGGATATTACAACATCTTGCGCTGTATACTTGGTTGAATTTAGTACAAGGGTTTAATATCCTTTAAGTTAATCTCATTTAAAATAATTCTGTTAGAATCAATGCCAACTTCTTATCGTTTCATAGTTCATCTTGAGGAATGCGAACTCGCAAAACAACTTCATCCAAAGGAAAATGATTTGGTGTTTTTGATTCCCGAACGACAAAACGGAGAGAATAAAGATACAGAGAGAGATCACATGGAAGATCTCCGTGATTACCACTGCGCGTATGTTCATAAGTTTCGCCGCACTTCCGTCAGTAAGTACATGATGAGACTGTGAAGAGCAATCTGTGAGATAGAAGCTCGTCTTTTAATTCCCTCGGAGCCGTGCTTTACCAGCCACATACTTGTTACGCGTATTCGAGACATGTATTTGCCAGGTTACTTGCCTTCCAGAGTCCTTGTTTCGTTTTTCTAGACTTACCTGGGAAAGGCCCAGTACTTACTGGGCTAGACTTATGATTTAAAAGCTTTCTTTTGTAATGTCCTCTCTTTCTGACACACTCCTTCATCTGTCGTTGGGTTTGTTATTAAACAACAGTTTGCAAACCAGCTGTCTTTTGTATCTTAAATCACAACCTTGGTGTCGTGGCTAAGCATCAGTGAGAAGAGCAAACACATAAGTCACTGCAAGGCAACTTGAAGATTTCGCTGTTTCCATTGCTCCCATCCCTGGTGTTGTAGGGACCGTTCTCCTGGGAGTAGCATCATAGAAGTAAGGTCAGCACCTGCTGTGTGCCTGGCCGCATGCCCTGTCCTTCCTGTGCTCTCTTATCGTCTTCCTCAAAGCCTTGTAAAGCAGTGAGAGTTGTGTATTCTCTGCTCATCAGGAAAGGTAGGCTCAGGGCTTCAGTGCTCACCCAGGCGCGTGCTCAGTATCGCGCAGTCGGCCCGGAAATTAAACTTGTGTTTGTTTGACTGCAGGGTCGCCCGCATTCTTCATTGTATGCCAAGCGGCCTTTTTAACATTGCTGCTTTCTTAGTCTCACTTATGTCACGAAAACATGAGTTCATTATTCCTTCGCCTTTTTGCAACTAGTCTTAGAAACGAAGCTCCTTGGAGTTCAGCGCCATGCCGCACTGCCACTGGCGGGCTGCACTTCGGGTGTGGTCCAGCCCAGCTCTTCCGTAGACTGCGTTTGGGCGAGTAGCCGGAGGGGTACATAGCTCAGTAAGTGCTTTTGACTCTTGCAAATGACGACATGCACCAGATTTCTATTTCTGAGTATTCTCCTCCTAGCTCCTCAAGCATCCAACTGTCTGACCTCTCCATTTGCAAATCTGTTAGACAAAAAAAACGAAGGAAGCACTTGATTTTCTGCCCGACGTCTACTATTCCTTCTGTTTTTCCCACGTCAGCAAGTGGGGCCTGTGTTTTTCTAGTTGCTCAGACCCAAAACCCCAGGCGTCCTTGATGCTTTCTTTGTCTCACACCCTATGTGTAATTCATCAGGAAATCATGTTGACTCTTCGCGAAGTATCCAGGATCCAAGTTACGTGTCTGCTCCTGCGTCCTGGTCCGGGCAGCCGTCCACTGCACTGCCTCCTGGTGGCTTGTTTGCTTTTGTGCTTTTCCCCTTGCAATTCCATCTTCCCCCACAGTGAGAGTGATTCTGCCAATGTGTGACTTCAAGCGTGTCCCTCTCCGGTACTGCGCTGCCCTGGGGCTTTCTACCTGACTTGAGGTGACATTCAGTCGGTATCGTGGTCTGCAGAGCCCTATAAAATGGAGCCCTGTTCTCTTCTCTGACTCTCGCAGCCCTTGTCTCCCTGCTCCCACCCCCACCCTCGCCCCGTGCAAGGCTTGTCCCTGTCCTGGAATACTCCAGTCACACCCTTGCTTCATGGCCTTTGCCAGTAAATACCCTCTCCCCAGATAAGGGCGTGGTTTTCTCATTTATTTCAAGTTTCTGCTCAGGCGCAGTCTTACCAGGAAGACCTTCCCTGACTTGCCCTTGATGGTAACACATCCTCATCACGTTGTCATCCCCTTTCTCTGCTTTTCTTTTTCTTTCTTTTTCTTTTTTTTTTTGAAGATTTTATTTATTTATTTATTTGACAGAGCGAGAGAGCATAAGAAGTAGGCAGAGAGGCGGGCAGAGGGGGAGGGGGAAGCAAGGAGACGGATATGGGTCTCGATCCCAGGACCCTGAGGTCATGACCTGAGCCGAAGGCAGAGGCTTAACCCACTGAGCCCCCCAGGCGCCCCGTTTTCTCTTCTTTCTTCATGCTGCCCCTCACTGCTGACGTTTTTGCTTGGTTATCTGCTTCCCTCTTCTAGGAAGGAATTAGCTGGTTCTTGGGAACCATTCAATAAGCATTTGAGTGAATTACTTGAACAATATGTCATACAAAAGACATGAATTAGAAAATACATAATTCTGAATAACCTTATTTTAGCTGGACAGTATTATTCACTGGTAACTGAAATTGCTTTTTCTCCTTCCTGATAATAGTGCGCAACGGGAAATCTGAGTGTTCCCTTTCCATCCAGATTCAAGATAATTTGCCAGTCAATTTAAATGAGCTTGTGAAATGCATTGTAATCAGTTCTCTGGTAACTACACAAAGGAAGTTGAAAGCCATGTCTTTGTTGAGTGGACGGAACCAACTGGCCAGAGCTGTTCTGAATCCAAACCCTATGGACTTCTGTACGAAAGATTTACTAACTACAACGTCTGAGAGAATTGTGAGTCATGATTAAATGAGAATGAAAAGTCTGAAAATTCTGTGTCAGAACGTGACAGCCTCGTGTTGTGTTTCTTCATCGCACATTCCCGTACGTGCGGGACAGAGCTGCGTCTCTGCGCACACAGCAACAGCATGTGGCGCTTCATTTTCTTTGATGTGGCAAAGTCCGTGTTTTGTTACTTAGCTTACCTCAGGAAAAAGGCATAGTGCAATAAAGAATTGAAAATATGGTTAGCGAGGGGCCTAAAATGTGAAATGAGCATCCTACTTAAATGCTTGTTAGGTGGTGACAATGCAGAGGTAGCAGTAGGTTAATAGAGTTATTTTTGCAATTAAAAGATGGATGGAGAGTTGACGGGTGAAGTTGCCATTTCACTTGGGCACGTGTTCTCCCTGTCAGAGCTGTGTATGTTCGTTCCAAGGGAGGAAGAGGAAAGTGGTGGTGTGTGGACTGCGGTTGTGTGCGAGGGATTTCCGTGCAGTATCACTCACTTTTCATCCTCCCAGGAGTGTCACATTTAATGGATGAGGAAGGCATAGGCTCAGAGAGGTTAGGAGTTTGGAGACCTAGTTTATGAGTGAAGCTGAGATTTAAACTTCGATCTGATCCAAAATCTTGGAATGTTAGGAAAGAATATCTTGGAATGTTTTTTTACTGTCTAAGTAAAGAATAAATAGGAGAAACGTACAGAACAGTTTATTGTGATCCTCTTTGTAAGAATCACAGATAAAAATGCAGTTGTAGTGGTTGTAGATGGGCTGAAGCCTACAGACACTCACAAATAACTTTCTTTATAGTAGTGAAATTGGTTCTGTCGATTAAAGATCATTTGGGGTCTTGCCTGATCATAACCAAAGCTTCTGTCTGATAAAGGCTAGAAGAAATTCAAATGGAGTTTTTCTCTTCCTCCTCTCCTGGGCCACTCTAGGAAGAGCAACTCACTCTCACTAATGTCTTTTACATAGATCACCTACTTAAGAGATTTCAACGAAGACCAGAAGAAAGCGATAGAAACTGCATATGCCATGGTCAAGCACTCTCCGTCTGTTGCCAAGATCTGTCTGATACATGGACCACCTGGAACAGGAAAATCAAAAACTATTGTTGGCCTCCTGTACCGCCTCCTGACAGAGGTAGAGCATGTGAGGGCGTCAGTGCTGGTAGCTGAGAACGTCGCTTCATGCGAGTTAACTGACACATGTAAATAACTACTACAGGTCTCTCTGCCTGCACGTCTGTGTAGCTTCTTGATACTTTGTGGAACTGGGTCCGAGAGAGGTAGCAGAAGGAGAGAAGGGTATAAAAGATCACAAAACAGAAAATGCTGTCCTGTGTGACGCTGATCTGAAGGGTTAGAATGGTGGTCTTCTGGCTTAATTATGTGTCATGTCTAATGCCAAGAAACTGGAATGTATTCCAGGGCTACATTTTGGTTGGATTGAGTATGCAGTAAAGTAAGTGGATAGTGAGGTGAGGCTCAGAGAAGCCATGATAAAATGTCCTTCTAGAGTCATCTCAGTGTCAGGCTAAGCTGTAGGTGCTGTTACTTACTTTTAAGTGTTTATAAGGGGAACTCTCGAATGTATGTGGAAGTAGAAGAAAACTGGAAAACTCTGTAATAGAGCTCATCAGTATCTTTTGTCTGTCTGTCTGTTTGGCGTGTGTGTGTCAAATTGTAGAACCAGAGGAAGGGGCATTCAGATGAAAACTCCAATGCCAAAATCAAACAAAACCGTGTCCTTGTGTGTGCGCCTTCCAACGCGGCTGTTGATGAACTTATGAAAAAAATCATCCTCGAATTTAAAGAAAAATGTAAAGACAAGAAGAATCCTTTGGGTATGATACTTACATGGCTTTTCATTTGTTTTTGGTTTTGTTCTCAGCGTTTAGCGTTGGCAGCTTTGGATGCCAGAGGGCAAGCCAGTTCTGATAATAACTTCTGCTTGGGGCCGTGGCCCATATGTACTCATCAATTCATTTAGCAAATTTTGCTGAGCATTTATTCTCTGCCAAGGCCCTGTGCTAGGTGCTGAGGTTTCAGCAGTGAAACCTTCCCAAGAGACAGTAGTGAGGAATTGGATTGGTGAGCAGTAGGAGCATAAAGCTGGACATTCCGGAAGAGCAGGGCGATGTGGCTATGTTCAGACACCTTAAAGTGGCCCTTGGTTCAGTCGTGGGAGGGTTAGGGAAGGCTCCTGGGGGAGATGATGTCTAAGATGAGACCTGGAGAAGAGCAGTTAGGGGTTAGCCATGGGAAGAATTGGTAGGGTGTGGGGAACTCTAGCAGAAGTTTCTATCAACAAAAGGACCAGAATCAAGAGATCCTCCATAGGGTACAGCTGGAATGTGATAAGCCCCACAAAGGCGGGGGTTTGGGCGTTGGTTTGCTGCCCTCTCCGGGGAGCTTCAGGCAGTGAGGGTGCGCAGGGATTCTGCTCTTTCCTTGGGGAGGCGTGTGAGTTCTGTATTGGGTTTTGACATCATGTGTACTTCACGTGCTAGGTCAAGAGTTTATAAAAACGCTGGCCTACCACAGGTAGACCTTGGAGTGAAAATGTTGGGTTGGAGGATTTCCTGCATCTTCGGTTTTCTAGATAGTGCCAAATTCTCCAAATTCTTCTCAGAAGTGGGTATAGCAGTTCACACGCCCGCAGCTCCCATGCCTCCGCAGTGCTGTGGTTTGAACGTGCCTTTCCCTGTGGGCTGAGGGAAGGCGAGGGCGCCGGCGTGTGCTGCCCGTGCAGCTGGGCCAGGATCAGGACAGGCCAGCCGGGCGTCGGGTTGGAGCTTCCATTCTGTTAGAGAAGAATTGCTGTCTTCTGGCCGTAGAAGAGAACTTGGGTCTTCTGTACCACATTTTCTTTCCACTACTTCCAGCTGTCCTGGGCGTCCTGAGAGAAATTCCTTGGACATCTCTCCATTAAGGAAGCTGTTGATTTCTGGGCTTTAGTGTTTACCCTCCTCGGGATAAAGAAGTTCCCTTGTCATTGGTTTCTGTCCTGAAGGGCTGTTGAGATTTATTGCATGCATTTTTCTTGTTGCATGCGTTTAAATGATAATGAAATCTTTTTCTTGAATCTGTTAATGGGGTAAATGGCAGTGTTTTTCTAATGTTAAAATATCTTCGATTCCTAGAATAAGGCCAACTTGGTCATGTATTATTATTTCTTAACACGTTGCTAGATTATTAATGTTTAATTTAGTATTTTAAAATTAGTATTCATGAATAAGGGCAGCCTGTGATTTTTCTTTGTCATATCTTTGTCTAGTTTTTATAAGACTGACTTTGAAAATGGAATTGGGGGTAATTTTTTGTTTATTCTTTGCAATGTTTTATATACGACCGAGATCATCCATTCCTTGAAGATTAATTTGTTTTTGGTGGTGCTTTGTTTGTTGCTCTTTGTTTATTGACAGATGGGTAAGTTTTAATCTACTGTCTGAATGTCTTAACTATTAAAGTTCTATTTGGGTATCTGTATTTTAGTGAGTTTGGCTAATTTGTTGTTTTTCAAGAAAAATCAACACTCCTCGTAGGTTTTTAAGTATATTGGCATAAAGTTGCTCATTGTATTCTCACTTTAAAACTCTCAACTGTATTTTGATTGGGTCATCTTTGTCATTCCCTGAATTCTATATTTAGTCCCTAAATCCACATGTGGCATGGGCCTAGGGTTAGAAATTCCTGGAAGAGAACTTAGTTTTTCCCAGCTAAGCCCAGGCATAGATAGATTCATTTCCTTTTTTATCCTCCCACCTCTTCCCAGGCCCTTTCCCTTTCCATTGGGCTTTAAAATCCAGGCCTCCATTATAGAGTTCCCGTGTCTTCACTGGAATGGTAGTTTTGCCAGTGTAGACATTTGTCAAACTCTGTAGGACTAAAGATTTTGAAGCATCTGCATTTTATTGAATGTACAGTAAAAAAAAAAAAAAAAAAAAAAAAAAAAAGATTCTGAGCACCTAGACAGTGCCAGCCCTGACTCCTCCTGCTCCCCTGGGGAAGCCTCAGCAGCCTGTGGACTTTCAACTCTGGTTTTGAGTTTTCTCTCTCTGTTTTTGGCCCCTAGGAATTTCTCTTCCATTTCTGTGAGCTTACCCCGCAGTTTGAAGGAGTCTGTTTTAATTTATGGAGCATTTCTAGATATTTATAGGAGGGGAGTGTCTAGGTAATTACGTTTACCTTTCTCATGGAAACACAAGTAAGTTAGCAGTTTTGAAACCTTCAAGTAAATGTTGACCAGAGAAGGTGGCTTCAAATTTAGAAGATTGAGCTGAACTAGAAACAAAAATATGTTGTAGACAGCTGCTTAGTAAGTCATTCATTCTCAGTACACATTGACTGTACTTCCTGCCGGCCGCTGTCATAGCCAGTGACCGCAACAAAACCCTATTCCGGGGAGGGAGATTGGCAATAAATAAGTATGTGATCTGTCAGACTGGGATAAGTGCTGATTGCTGTAATTTAGCCCAGTGATGGAGTCAGAGATGTTTAGCTTAAATAACACACCAAATACGGCGACCTAAAATAAAGGTGTGGTTAGCTGCCACTTCTGTGACATTTCCACTGTTTGCAGTTATCTGCTCCACAATTTCCAGCCCCTTGTGTCCCTTAGATTCTGGAGCAGCAGCATGATGTGGAATAGAGTTTCAAAAACTTTGCTGTGACTGCTCCACAGAAAAGGATTTGATAGTAAAATATCCTGTCTTGGGAATTCAAGTATGTATTCATAAAGGAAAGTCTTTATATATATGATATATCCTGTGGTTAAGAAATCTGTCTTACTTAACTCCCCTTCCCCAAATGTACTTTACAGTGGAATAGTGTTCAGAACATAGTTTGAGAAATGTTGGTATAATTGAATCTCAACTTCATAATGTCCTGTTTATGCAACCTCTGTAGCTTTTATTGGGTGGAAATGGTAAGTACTCCCCCTGTAGGGTGATTGTGAATATCTAAAGTGTATGAAGCCTCTAGTGTAGTTTCAGGTGTGGAGTTCATGATAGTTAATGTTGGTTCCCTTCCCTGATTGTTAATATGCTTGCTGAGAAATAGATACTACACGTGGAAATTGGCAGTGTCCTTATTAATCTCTAAGTATGATGTTTTTATCAACAGGAAACTGTGGAGATATAAATTTAGTACGTCTCGGTCCAGAAAAGTCTATTAATAATGAGGTCCTAAAATTCAGTTTGGATAGCCAAGTTAACCACAGAATGAGTAAGTACCATTAAGGCACAAACTAACATTACTTCTGTTTCCTTTTATGTGATAGGTAATGTGTTGGCCATTAAAGGTAATTTGGAGAAACTCAAAATAGCCTTGCTTTGAGAACTAGTTTTTCTTCTCATTGTGTATGCATATGTGTATATTTATGAGAATTGTCATATCATTCTTTTTTTTTTAGAAAAAGACTTACCTTCTCATGTTCAGGAAATGCATAGAAGAAAGGAATTTCTAGATCGTCAACTAGATGAGCTTTCCCGCCAGCGTGCTTTATGCCGAGGTGGAAGGGAAATGCAGGTACCTAAACATTTCTTGATGAGTATTTTTTAATAGCTGATAAGTACAGAAGCTAGTGATGAGTATTTGATACCATTGTTTTATTGTGGGATAGCATAATTTGTGTATAAAGATGTATACAAAAGCGATATGCCTTATATTAGGGATTAAAAAGCTCTCTAGAAAGGAAAGGTAGAAATAATTTAAACTTTGCAGGCCATATGGTCTCTGTTTCAGCTACTCAGCTCTGTTGTAACATAAAAGTAGTGATAGATAATACATAAGCAAATGGATGTGGCTATGTTCCAATAAAACTTTATTTATAAAAACAGATGGTGAGCTGAATTTGGCCCACAGGCTGTAGTTTGCTGTTGTCTGGCTTGTATTAAAGCTGTAGTGAATTTATTAGATATGTTTCAGTTGCAGGTTAAACCCAAGTTAGACAGAAAGGGAATTGACCCACTCATATACCTAGGAACTCTGGGAGGGATTAGCTTCAGCATGGCTGGTCCAGAGGCTCAGATGCCATTTTTCCATGCCTTGAGTATTCTGTGTGTCAGGCATTTCTCATCTTGCAGAAGACAAGTGCCAGCATTTGTGTGTGCCACCGCCCCAGCTTAGAAAACCCAGGGGAGGGGTACCTGGGTAGCTCAGTCAGCTAAGCATCCGACTCTTGATTTTGGTTTGTGGGATTGAGCCTGCGTTGGGCTCTGCGCTCACCAGGGAGTCTGCTTTCTCTCCTCCCTCTGCCTCCCCACTCCCCCGCTGCCCACACTGTTTCTCTCTCTCTCTCAAATAAATCTTAAGAAAGAAAGAAGGGAAGAAAACCCATACGAAGGGAAGGGGCTGCTTTCCCCACGATCCGTGTCAGTGATATGGCGGGTGTCTGATTAGTCCCTGGGTGTGCACACAGGTCTGATCCCTGATTATAAGGGAATGTGAGCCATAGTTTACCAGGCCTGTGTTCTATGCCCATCACTATGGCTAGAGGAATGACTGGGTTGTGATGAATAACCTGTTTGAACCACCCAGAAATTAATGGAGGAGTGAGCCCCAGGGGTTAGACTGCTCAGTAGACAGAAGTAGCACACACGGGACGCACTGGGCAGAACAGCGTCTCACACAGTGTTAAGGCTTGTTCTCAGACTACGCTTAAGTGGCGCTCAGGGTGCCAGACCCTAGAGAAACTGAATTAGATACATTCATTATGCTCAGTCCTGCAGGAAGTACACGTCCCTCCTCCAGGGGCCACACAGGGAAGTCAAGGCAGAGTGTGGACAGAGAGGCAGGACCTGGGGTGTGTGTCTTCGTTAGGGTCTATGGAGGGAGTGCTTTCTGGGTCCTGGGCTAGGGCCATGTTGGGCCACTCGGACCAAAAGAGTAGGGCTTGGATAAGCTGCATGGGCGCACATCAGGCACACAAGCACTGGAGGCAGTGGGGACTGCTGGTCACGAGGGCAGTGCTGTTGGGGCTTCCATTTGCAGGGATTCTGGTTGCTCTCCTGCCCGGGACCTGTGTTCTTGTGAGGGCTGGTGTCCATGGAGGGTCTCTGCAGGCTGCCTGGCTGGACGGTGTGCATGTGGGCCAGTGTGAGCCAGTGTGGCCCGAGGCACAGCCGGAGTGTCAGGACTCCCGGGGAAGAGAGAAGGAACTGGGTGAAGAGCGAGCCTCTCTTGGGCAGATTAGTGTCACCTGAAAGGCAAGACAGTCAGCTGGAAAGCATTTGAAAATGCTCATTTTAACTTTAATGATTGCATTCTCACTTTTTCCAGAGGCAAGAATTAGATGAAGAAATTGCAAAAGTTTCAAAAGAGAGGCAAGAACTAGCTTCTAAAATTAAAGAGGTAAGTGGTTCACCTGTAGCATTTTCCACGTTTTTCTCTCTTTCTCTTTATTATGAATTATTTCACACAACTGATGGGCTCTTCTCAATTACATTTAAAAATCTATTTATCATGGGGCACCTGGGCAGCTCAGTGGGTTTAAGCCTCTGCCTTTGGCTCAGGTCCTGGTCTCAGGGTCCTGGAATCGAGCCCCACATCGGGCTTTCTGCTCAGCAGGGACCCTGCTTCCCCCTCTTTTCTCTGCCTGCCTCTCTGCCTACTTGTGATCTCTGTCTGTCAAATGAATAAATAAAATCTTTACCCAAAAAAATTTATTATGAAAAACTTCTTTAAGTGTTAAAGTAGAGAAAATAATGCAGTTACATGTACATTTGCTTTTTTTGCTTTAGCCTAATAATTCTTACCCTCACTAAGATTTCTAAGAAAGAGGCGATTATACAGAGTAATCTTTTCCTTTTCTAGGTCTGGGTAAGCATTAAGCTCCGTTGTTAGGTGCTCCCCACGCCGTGCCGCTGCAAAGTTGGTTATGATAACTGTCATAGATGAATAATTAGCGAAAGTAGATTTGAAGATGTTTTCCCTGTTAAAAAGAAAATAAAATTAGTGCCCACCCAGGGACACCAAAAAAAGAAGGGGAAAAAAAAGGAAAATCACATGTCTGGATTCAAGTAGAGTGACACTGGCTGGGGATTTGGCAAAAAAGAGTACAAACAAGTGTTCTACAGTTCTTGACTGGAAGTATTAACTTATATTTGTTTTTGATCATAAGAATCCTATAGTGTGTGTAACTTCTGCTCCAGTATTCTTTGGATGTAAAAATATCATCAAGGGGCAGCTGGCTGGCTCAGTCAGTGGAGCATGTAACTCCATGTTGTGAGTTTGTGAGTTTGAGCCCCACATTGAGCATAGAACTTATTTAAAAATAAAATCTTTTTTTTTTTTTTTAAGATTTTATTTATTTGACAGAGAGATCACAAGTAGGCAGAGAGGTAGGCAGAGAGAGCAAGGGAAGCAGACTCCCCACAGAGCAGAGAGACACATGTGGGACTCGATCCCAGGACCCTGAGATCATGACCAGAGCCAAAGGCAGAGGCTTAACCCACTGAGCCACCCAGGCGTCCTTAAAAATAAAATCTTAAAAAAAAAAAGCAAAATTTTGATTGATCAAAGCAAGGATGAGCCAGGTATATATTGTCATAACCAGATTGCGGCCCTAATAAACCAGTGGGGGTCAGGGAGAGCAGGTTCTAGCAACTGGTGACGTGATTAGTATTTTTTTTTTTTTTAAAGGTTTTATTTCTTTCAGAGAAAGAGTGAGTGAGAGAGAACAGAGGGGAGAGGGTCAGAGGGAGAAACACACTCTCCACTGAGCAGGGAGCCCGATGTGGGACTCGATCCCGGGACTCCCGAGGTCATGACCTAAGCCTAAATCAGTTGCCCAACCAGTTGAGCCACCCAGGAGCCTGATGTTATTAGTATTTTTTTTTTAATTTAATTTATTTATTTGACAGACAGAGATCACAAGTAGGTAGAGAGGCAGGTAGAGAGAGAGTAGGAAGCAGGCTCCCTGCTGAGCAGAGAGCCCAATGCGGGGCTCGATCCCAGAACCCTGAGATCATGACCTGAGCCAAAGGCAGAGGCTTAACCCACTGAGCCACCCAGGTGCTCCGTTATTAGTATTTTTGAGCTGAAATTTTTCTCTTGAATGTATTTCCCTTCCTGGTAGAGCTAAATAAGTGACAGCTGAACTTAATTCATATTTCCATTAGCTGTTGGTTCATTTAAATAAAAAGTTATGTGGAAAGATTTTTATTAAATTGTAAACTGAGCCCAAAATTACTTCTCAAATTTAAGGCTGAAGTCTGTATTTATTGAAGTCTGTTTTTGCATATACGGTGGGTTTGCTGCTCGTCACCTTGTTCTGTGGCCCACGGAATTCATCCTACTTGGCACTTTTCCTCAAAAGGTGGCTGAGAGGAGAGGTGTGTGTCAGTGCGTTCACATGTGCCCCTGGGAGGGCCATGGTTGCCACCATCTCCGTGACGCTTCCACACGTGGTTGGCAGTCCACGTCTCTGGTTGACCAGATGTGCAGGGATGAGCCCCTGTTCATAAGTTGGAACGGGCTCACCGAGTCTGATGAGAATACTGGGTTATCAGCTTGGATCCTAAATGGGACACGCACTGCCCTGCACTGTGACTCGGTCCGTGCAGCGGTGGCGGACTGAGGAGGGCTTTCTTAACGCGTGAGCACAGAGCTCCTCCTCTTCACAGGCGGCGGTGTTGGTACAAGCCTTTGTAAAAGAAGGAACAACGTTGTGTACTTAAAAACTGACAGAAAAATGTGTATTCAAGCTGAGTTCTGACCCTAGTTTAACTCCGATAATTGCTTCACAACTATCTCTACGCGTTCTGTACCTGCCCACGTACATCTGCTGTAAGAATTATAATTTGCTTTGACCAAATCAAGCCTGAATAAATTTTTCCTAATGAGCTTTAACTCCTGTTGTGAGCTTAGACTGCACTGCAGTGCACAGTGTTGTCTCTGGTGGTTTCTTGAGCGTTTGTGCCATTTTCTAGATTTGAGGTTCCTGGGACCTCTGTGCTCACTAAATTTTTTTTTTTTTTTTAAGATTTTATTTATTTATTTGACGGAGATCACAAGCAGGCAGAGAGAGAGGAGGAAGCAGGCTCCCTGCTGAGGACCCAGGACCCTGAGATCATGACCTGAGCCGAAGGCAGCGGCTTAACCCACTGAGCCACCCAGGCGCCCCTCACTAAATATTTTTATTGTATAATAAATGGTGGATGTTTTACAGTAAAAACGGGCCTACCATAAGCAAGAATTTATATACGGTGAAATATTGATTCTTCTTTATTTGTTATCTTAGGTTCAAGGGCGCCCACAAAAAACACAGAGCATCATCATCTTGGAGTCCCATGTCATCTGCTGCACACTGAGCACGAGTGGTGGCTTACTGCTCGAGTCTGCTTTTCGTGGGCAAGGGGGTGTCCCCTTCAGCTGTGTCATTGTGGATGAGGTCAGTTGGCACTCAGCAGTATGAGTTGGATGGTGCTGTGAGGGCTGAATCTTGGGGGTCTTTGCTGCTGCTGAGCTAGGGAGAGCAGGGTTCTTGTGCCGCTAGTGTTTACCTGCTGTGCTGTGTGTGTAGTCTCATGTGTTGAAATGTGTTGCTGACAGCCCCTCACAGTTAAAACGGCTTTTCCAGAATTGGGATTCTGGAATCCCTGACTGTTCAACAGAACGTTCCCAAGGAGTATCTCGCTTCTGCTTGGAATAGCCCTGGTTCCCTTTTGAAGCAGTTTTAATATAACTTTGGACAGCTCTGAGCCACAATATTTTCAGCTAACATCCTTTATCCGTAGTTCATTCATTGAGCAAGCATTTGTTGGGTACCTACTGTTTGCCAGAATGTAGAGCCAGAAGACAAAAGACGCAGAAAATGAGATACAGAGGATCAATCCAAGATCCGTTTTCACCAAACGAAAGAACAGAAACCATGGAAGTGATGAAATAATTGAAGAAAATGGCATTGAAGAGAAACTTGAGTCTTGCAGATGATGAGGCCTGCGGGAAACAAGGAAGCAAGGGGGTGGCAGGGAGAGGGGGACTCACAGCCATGCAGTTCCCTTGGGCATGTGCCCAGAAGGAACAAAGAACATAGAACTGGGGCATTACATGCCTTGCAGCTGGCGGCTGGTTCCCAAGTGGTCATGGTGCCCGAGTGGTGCTAGCTTCACAGCACCCCTGCGGTGGTGGTTCTTAATTGACTGTCGAGAGTGTTTGCTTCTTTGTTGTTTTATTTTCTAACCAAAAAAAAACAAAAAAAAACAAAACCCTTTTTTTCCCTTATTTTTCTTATTAAGTTATTTTAATCACCTGGTGCTCATCACAATAAGTATACTCAAAAATCCTTATTATTTTTTTTTTAAAGATTTTATTTATTTATTCGACAGACAAAGATCACAAGTAGAGAGGCAGGCAGAGAGAGGAGGAAGCAGGCTCCCCATGGAGCAGAGAGCCTGATGCGGGGCTCGATCCCAGGACTCTGGAATCATGACCTGAGCCGAAAGCAGAGGCTTTAACCCACTGAGCCACCCAGGCGCCCCCCCCCCCAAATCCTTATTTTTGATACTCAGTGCAGAAAGAGAAAGTGATACTTTTCTGAATGTTAGAACTTCTATGAATTAGATAAAGTGCACACGGATAAAGAAACGGCAAAGATGATTAAGAACACCTTCTCATTCTGTACTTTCTTCCCAAGGCCGGGCAGTCTTGTGAGGTTGAGACTCTCACTCCACTCATCCATCGTTGTAACAAGCTCATCCTCGTGGGAGATCCGAAACAGCTCCCTCCCACGGTCATTTCTATGGTAAGTTAGTTTCATGTTCATATTGTTTTAAAGTGGAAGGGCCTTCTTTGTTACTGTGTTTGGAAGGGTCTTTCTTGGATCATCATCTCTTACTTGGAAGGAGAAGAAGGGAATGGCTAAGAAAAGAGAACCACTGTTTGAATTTTAAGAGTAAGAGCCTGTAAAAATGTCCCTTTGTTCCTGATTGTGCTTCTGTGCACGTGTGACGTGAGCAGGGTGTGTGCCCCCAAGACCAGAAGGCAAAGGCAAGAACGACTGTGTTCTGTGTGCGGCCTGCTCATTCTTGGGGAAAGGCAGTGTGCAGCTGTTTTAAGGGCTGTATCCAATCCATTTTAGTAACATACACACCAAAACAATAATAGAAGAAAAATTTTAGAAGTTTCCTAACCTCCTGATTTATATTTAAATGTATGCAAATTTGAAAACATTATAAAGAGTACTTTAAATGTATTTTTAAGAGTACATTTCCAGTGCTAGAATTTTGTGTCCTGTCATACCAAAAAAAAAAAAAAAAAAAAAAAATGCTTCTCCTGTCCTCTGAAAGTATGGTGTCAGGAAGAGAAAAGGGGCCGTGAACCCCATTTGTGGGAGGAAACAGTCCATGCCTGGAATATGCCCGCCCCTCTCTGCTGCTCCCTCACCACAGAGAGCTCCTACTAATGCACACCAGAATCAGGACGTTTGATAGAGGGTTTGTAATCTGAATAGGTGTAGACCATGGCTTTGAATGTAATAATAGTTGAATATTTCACTGATCTGTGGATTGTTGGTACAGAGTGGTGGTTGCATAAATGACCCCAGAGAACAGATCATTTCAGAGCATTTCTGTTCAGTTGTGGAATGAAAGCCAGTGGGTTGGTTGGTTTTTTGTTTTTTGGTCTTTTTTTGTCATTACTGTGTTTTGACTTTGGATTATTGAAAATGATAATGCAGCTCTTTGACATCTGAGCACACATGCGCGACCACACTGGGCCTAGAAGCCTACCCGTCTCCGAGTGGAAACCTCGGAAGGAGTGGGGGGAAACGGTATTACTTTCTAAATCATGGGTTATTTCTATACATGATTTTAAATAGGTCTGTGTAACTAAATAAAATGTTAGTAGTAGACATTCAACAGTTTCATCTACCTCCCCAGAAGCTGATCTACTCGATAAGTTAGCCAAACCTATTTTGAATCTCTCTGGGGAAAAAGAAAAAGTAACAGTTCACTTGTAGAAAAAAACTGAGTACATCCTACAAGGTGATGCGGATTTCTATGTTCTAACACGGAAGGATATTCCTGATCTGTTTACAGACTAGGAAAAAAGACAACCTGACATGGAATGCTTCTGCCCCCTTTAAAGCACACCCTATATACATACGGCCGCCACACACAGACCTTCCAGCCACCTGACATACCACATCTTAGCAACGTATGTACTGTCTGTTACCCCCTCGATTCAAGCTCCATAAGGGCAGGGACTCTTGTCTGTTCTCTTCATTGTTTTAACACCAGTGCCTAAAACAGTGCCTGAATTAGGCTGGCACTCGATGACTATTGATGGAAAGAAATAAATAAACACACAACAAATGCCCAGCAAAATCTGTTAAAATACTCAACTAAGTTGTTCCCAGTAATTCTTCTTAGAAACAGGTGGACAGAAAAGCATGTTGAGAAAATTAACTTTGTAATTATAATTTTCTAAATTTTTCTCAATAAGCCCATATTATTTCTATAATAATAATAAAAAGCCCAAGCAGATTTTTCTTGTTTTTGCTGTTTTTATCCATCACCAAAGCAGTGAAGTTGGGGCCCATCAGCAATCCGTTTTCACTACATGCTGAATTCCTTCAAGAAGTTCAGTCAGTAAATTTGCAGAACACCATGTTATTTAGAAGAAATGCGGTCTGAGTTGGTTCTTGATTATTCTCCATGAACAGAATCACCGACAGCTCCCCTAATTTGTGCAGTAGGTTTTTGAACCTCGTGTGCACGGCTTCCACATCACGTGTGGTGATCCCATCTCCATTGTCTTGGTGCATTCTTGAGTGCACGTTTGTTTCTAGATTATGTAAGACGCAGTACTTTTTGAGTATCTCTATGATTTGACATTGAAAAGTATATCCCAAGGCACAGCTATAATAACTTTAAAACTGTTCTCTTCATTTGTCTCTTAGGTCACTAATTTTTCAGGTCTTAACTCATTAATAGGTTTATGAAATCAGTTTAGTAATTATTGTCACCTGTGTTTCTCCTCCACTGAAATACAAATTCTGTGACATTTGGTCTAATTTACCTTAGCAGTCTTGGCACCCCAACTTTTAGGTGCTCAGTGTTATGTTGGAGAGACAGACGGACGGATACATGGGGGGCCGGTCTTTCTAAGACTTGTGTACCATGACAGCCAGTGTTTCTGTTTGTGAGAGAACACCGTAGAATTGTTAAAGTCTGTGTTGCGGTTCTTTGTTTCTTTTATTATTGATTCTTTCGGGTGACCTCTGTTAGCATCAAAATAGCTTTAGTTGTGGCCATTACAAGATCACATCTTTTCCTTTTTTTTTTTCTTAAAGTAAGTAGGCTCCACTCCAAACGTGGGGCTTGAACTCACAGCCCTGAGATAAAGGCTCACATGCTCACAAGCCAGCCAGGTGCCCGAGATCACATTTTTCTCATAAGCAGTATATGGGTTTTCTAAATAAACTGTTACAGTTGAGCTACATGGCTCTCGAAGGCCTGAAGTCAGAAACCTCTTTCTCTGAATCTGCTTGTTGGTCATACATTTTAGCGCTCAGTCACTGTTTTTACAGTAGTGGGGAAAGTATGAACAAATGCTTGGAGATCATCGTTCTCGCCCTTTCCAGAAAGCTCAGGAGTATGGCTATGACCAGTCAATGATGGCGCGCTTCTACAAGCTGCTGGAAGACAGCGTGGAGCACAGCGTGGTCGGCCGGCTGCCAGTCCTGCAGCTCACCGTTCAGTACCGGATGCACCCGGACATCTGTCTCTTCCCCTCCGGCTACGTTTACAACAAAAGCTTGAAGACGAGTAGGTGAGTTCCGCTCCTGGCTTTGTAGCTTGTTTTACTTGTGGGCTTAGCTGCTTAGGAAGAATAGCTGTTTTACTGTGTTCTTAAGTTTGTCCTAAGAAGCATAAATCAGAGGTTTAGTACTTTTTTCTAGTTACAAAAGCCATGTTGGTTTTAGCAAATACAGATAAAAAAGAAGAGGGGAAGATTACCTTTATTTGTGCTGCCCAGAAATAAGCACTGGTAACATTTTGGTATATCTATTTCTAGTCCTTGTACTATGCATATCTTTTTTTTACTTTTTTGGTTTTTAAATTTTTGGAAAAAAAAAGAATCACACCATACTCAGCATAGTACGGATCTTTGACTTATGACAGAGTTATGTCCCAATAAACGTATCACAAATCAAAAGTGCATCTAATGCACGTAACCTACCAAACATGGCGTAGCGTGGCCTACTTAAGTGTACTCAGAACACTTACATTGGCCTGCAGGTAGGTAAAAATCCTCCAACACAAAGCCTGCTTTATAGTTGTTGGTTGTATAACATATGTAACTTACCGTGTCACTTACCGAATACCGTACTGACAGCGACAGAGTGCTTGTTAGTGTAGAAGGTGGTTACCCTCGTGACCGTGCGGCTGACCAGGAGTGCTCCTCGCTGCTGCCCAGTGTCTCCTGAGAGGATTGTACTACATGTTGCTAGCCCCAGACGAGACCCAAATTCAAAATTCCAAGTACAGTTTCCACCAAAATGTATTGCTTTTGCACCGCAGTTAGGTCACATAATGGTAGGTTGAACCATCCTAAGTTGTGGACTGTCTGTATTCTCTGGCTAGCTTTTTTCACTTATTGTATTAGGAGTGACTTTTTAATTACAGTTATCTTTAATTGCATAGATCACTCTTCCTGGCCTAGAACAGAAATACAATCTGTTTTTTATCTTTTACTAAAACACATTTTGATAAAATAAGGTAGGTATCTCTTACTCCCAGCTCCCTCCCTAACAAAAAAATATTAATAAAATAAAATATTTTCTTATAACTTGTATTCTGAATGGTGGCTGCTTTTTTTGTAGACAAACTGAAACCAGTCGGTGTTCATCAGACTGGCCATTTCAACCTTACCTGGTGTTCGATGTTGGAGACGGTTCAGAAAGACGGGATAATGAGTATGTTCTCCTCTCTTCAATCCCCAGGGATGGTCCCAGAGTTGTTATTTTTGTTCATATTTACATGGAAAACATTTTCCATACATCTCTTTGCCTTGTGTCAGGGCACAGGCATTCTGTAGCTAGGCTACTAGCTTTTCCTTTATTACCCTAAATTACTAATATCTTTCTCTATACATTTCGGCCTTTTAGTTCTTCTTAATCATGTAATGGGGATCATAATCCCTAGCATGGTAAGCACTTGAGTAAACACATGCTAAGATTACAGCTGTCGTAAAACAGATATGGCTGTTGTGCATGGCTCTTGTGATCTAAGAGGAGACACAGACACAAATGGGAATCCCCAGGGTTATTACTTTTTCCAGCTGGTTACGTGGTGCGAGGATCAGTGTAGATCCATTTGAATTAAGGTGGGAGACAGAGGGTAGACAGTACCTGATGTATGGGATTGTGAATAAGGGAACATATTCATGTGGTTTGTGAGGGACGAGAAGAAGTGGTTAGCACAGGTCCCAGCATGGAGTACAGGGAAATACAGGTGTCACTGAGCGCTCTGTAGAGCAGGTGGCATCCTCAGGAAGGGTTACGTATTAGTTGAGCTACCGAGGTGGTGGGAGAAGACATTGAGTGAAGAAGTTAGGGATACAGAGAAGCAGTTGATCATAAGTGTTGTGGGGGTGGGGGTCACAGAGGAGGGTTGACCTGAGAGGTGACCAAAGAAAGTAAATTAGACTTCAGGGATGGAAGAGCTAGCTGGCTAATGGTGGGGGGTGGGGGGGGTTGGTTTTTTGGTTTTTTAAGATTTTATTTATTTATTGGGGCGCCTGGGTGGCTCAGTGGGTTAAAGCCTCTCCCTTCGGCTCAGGTCATGATCCCAGGGTCCTGGGCTCGAGCCCCGCATCGGGCTCTCTGCTCCGCGGGGAGCCTGCTTCCTCCTCTCTCTCTCTCTGCCTACTTGTGATCTCTCTCTGTCAAATAAATAAAATCTTAAAAAAAAAAAAAAAAAGATTTTATTTATTTATTTATCTGACAGGATAGTGAGAGAGGGAGTGGGAGAGGAAGAAGCAGGCTTCCCACAGAGCAGGGAGCCCAACACAGGGCTCGATCCCAGGGTCCTGGGATTGTGACCTGAGCTGAAGGCTGATGCTTAATGACTGAGCCACCCAGCACCCCTAACAGGATTTTCCATAGACTTAAGTCGGAAGTTAAGATTATGGGTATTAAAGGCCCTTGAAGTGAGACCAGTAAGGTGGCCTCAGGTGCAGTGCATGTAGCTCCTAGAGCGGTAGTGAAGGGGTCGGTGTAGTTCAGGAGGTGGGTAGGGAGAGCAGGACGAGGCCAGTAAGGAGGCAAGCCCACTGCAGGAGTCCATGTTGTTCTCTAGGGGCCGTGTCTCGTTCAGTCTGTGTGGACGGCATCACCTTGGCTGTGTGGTGCATCGTTTGCACAGCCAGTGGTGGGAATTAAGGAAGATAATATGACTAAAGCACTTTTTTCAGTGTGTGGAAGATAGTAAATTTCTTAATTTTAGCTGTTGATCATTCATATCTTCGTTATCATAAATGCTTTTGTTCTTACTGTTGCTGTCCCTGTTACAACAAATGAAGAGAGCGGTGAGTAACCTTCAGTTGATTTCAGAATCTTTTCTTTCTTACATCTTCTGTTTCACTGGGTGGTTACAGGTCTGCAAGTCTGCGGTATTAATGGTCATTATAACAGCTTCTTTGAACCGCTGATGACTGAATAAAGGTGAAACTTAACCTGCCTGCCCTTCACTGTAACGGAAAAGAAAGTAGGACTGAAGCTAGCAGTTGGACTGCTATTAGTTTTGATGTGTTTTGTTTTGTTTTTTCATCTTATTTAGCTCATATGTAAATGTTCAAGAAATAAAACTGGTAATGGAAATAATTAAACTTATTAAAGACAAAAGAAGGGATGTTACTTTCCGGAACATTGGCATAATAACCCATTACAAGGCTCAGAAGATGATGATTCAGAAGGATTTGGACAAAGAATTTGATAGAAAAGGGTGAGGCATCTATATTTTTACAGATATTTCCAGTTTTTCTGTTGAATTAAAAAGAAGAAGGAGGGGATAAAAGGAAACCTAACTCTAGGAAATGGTCTTAGGCTGTGGTGATACAGCAGGAGGAGACTCAAGGCTTTGGTCATGCTGGGTAGGGAACACTCACACTCCCGGCCCTGCAGACCAGCCGTCTCCAGAGCGCCTCCTGCTGGCCACAGTGTCCTCACCGCCACTGGCAGTGGACCTGGCTGAGAAACCCTCAGGCCTTTTCCTTTAGTTCTGTGACTTGTTAATCTGAACTCTCATTCTAGTAAGATTCACAAAGTAACACTTTCACTTAGAATAAAGTATTTAATCCTTTTCATGCCTTTATGTACAGGGTGAAGCTCATATTTTTGTCTCCTCCTTACCTCAACAATAAAATTAAAGATTAATTATTGGAAATCCATTAATTCAAAAATTTCTTAACCTAGGAACACACAAGCTACCAAAATTGGCTCTAGAAAAAATAGAAAATTTGAACAGACCTGTACAAAGTAAAGAGATGGAGTTAGTAATCAAACACTTTCCAACAAAGGAAAACCCAGGACCAGGTGAATTCTACCAAACATTAAGATCAGAATTAACACCAATCCTTCTCAGACTTTTCCAAAACATAGAAGAGGAGGGAAGACTTTCTCACTCCTTTTATGAGGCCAATATTACCATACCAGAGCCATGGAAAGACATCACAAGAAGAGAGAAACTACAGGCCAGTATCCCTTATGAATATGGATGTTAAAAATCCTCAACAAAATATTGGGAACTGAATTCAGCAGCATATTAAAAGGATTATACACCAAGACCATAGTGGGATTATCTCAGGAATGCAAGGTTGGTTCAATATACAAAAAAATCAATCGTGTGACACACCGTTATTAATAGAATAATGGGAGAAAACCCGCATGATCATCTGAGTAGATATAGGAAGAGCATTTGACTATATCCAACACCTCTCATGATTAAAACATTCAACAGACTAGGAATAGAAAAGAACTTCCTCAACCTAGTAAAAGGCATCTATGAGAAATCCCCAGCTAACATACTTGATGGTGAGGCTGAGTCCTGTCCCCCCAGGATCAGGAACGACACCAGCTCTCACCACTGCTGGGCGGCACTGTATTAGAGGTTCTAAGCAGGATAATCGAGCAAGAAAAGAGATTAAAGGCATCCATATTACAAAAGAAGTCAAACTACCCTTTCTCATAGTTGGCAGGACATTTTATATCAAAAAACCACATAAACTATTCATTTTTAATGAGTTCAACCAACTTGTAGGATGAAGATCAGTATACAGAAATTAGTTGTATTTGTATTACAGTAGCAACGAGCGGTCTGAAAAGGAAACTTAAAAAAACAATCGTTTGTAATGGCATCAAAAAGAACAAAATAGGAATGAATGAAGTAAAGGTGTATAAAACTTACACATCAAAAAATACAAAACGTTGTTGAAGGAAGTTAAAGAACACCGAGGTAAATGGAAAGACAGTCTGTGTCTGTGGTTCAGAAGACTTCCTGGTGTTAAGGGGGCAGCACTCCCCAGAGTGATTGATCCTACAGAGTCATTGTTGTCTCTGGCAGAACCCAGCTGCCTGTTTTACAGAAATGGACAATCTTAACCTAAAATTCATGTGGAAATGCAAGACACCCCAAATATCTTGAAAAAGAACTAGATGTTGGAGGGTTCACACTTTGCTCTTTCTGAGCTTACTGGCAGAGCTGGTTATCAGGACTGGTACTGTCCTAAGGATAGGCCTATAAACCAGTAGACTCGAATTGCCAGTTCAGAAAGAAACCCATTCATTAATGGCCAGTTGCTTTCCAACAAGGATGCCAAGACCAGTCAGGAAAGAATAGTCTTTGTTTAGATGGTGCTGGGCCAACGAGATCTCCATATGCAAGAGAGTGAATTTTTTTTTTAATAGTGTGCAAGTGGGGTGAAAGAGGGGCAGAAGGAGAGAGAGGAGGAGGATCTTAAGGAGGCTCCATGCCCAGCACAAAACCAGACACGGCCTCCATCTCACCGTTCTGAGATCATGACCTGATCATGCCGAGGTCAAGAGTGGGAAGCTTAACCGGCTGAGCCACCCAGATGCTGTGAGAATGAATTTTGACTCTTGTCCCACAGCATACAGTGTATGAAGTCAAAGTGGGTTAGAGCGCTGAATCTAAGCGTAAAATTATAAAGTTCAAAGCTATAAACCTGTCTGACCTCAGATGAGACAGCAGTTTCTCAGCATGACACCCAAGCACAAGTTACCAAAGGAAAAATAGATAAACTAGGCTTCATAAAAATTTAGAAACTTGTGTGTGTCAAAGTACACTATCAAAAAAGGGAGAAGACAGCCCCCAGAATGGGAAAATAGATGGATAGTTCCTGATTAACCATGGTTTGACTTAGAATTTTCCAACTTTATGATGGTGGCAAAGCAGTACACATTCAGTAGAAGCTCTACTTCAAATTTCGAATCTGGATCTTTTCCCTGGCTGATGATAGGCGGCACGGTCCTCTCTTGTGCTGTTGTGCAGTAGCGGCCACAGCTCCTGGTCCGCACTGCAGTTAGGGGGGTGCGTCTGGTGACGCTGGCAGCCATTCTGTCCTGGCTCCAGAGCGGTTACATGACTTACAAACAGGCTTTGCCGAACCGTAGGCTGGTGCAAGCATTCAGAGCCCGTCTGAGGTCTGCCAGGCCAAGCCAGTGTTCGGTAGGTTAAGTGTAATAAATTACATTTTCAGCTTAGGATGTTTGTAACTCATGGTGGGTTTATTGGGATGTAACGCCATCCCAGGTCAAGGAAAATCTGTACTTGCAAATCATGCATCTGAATTACATAAAGAACTCACACAACTCAAAAAGTTAAATGGTCTACTTTTTTTAATGGGCAAAGGATTCGAATAGCCTTTCTCTAAAGTAGGTTGTAAACAAATGGTCAACAAGTACGTGAAAAGATGTTCCACATCGTTTGTCATTAGGGAGATGCAAATCAAAAGCACAATGAGATCCCATGTCACCCGTCTGAACGACTGCTAAGCCAGACAGTGAGCGACAAGTTGGGGCAAGGATGTTGAGAAATTGGAATCCTTTGTGCATTGCTGGTGAGAATTTAAAATGGTAGATCATGGTGGAAAACACTTTGGCAGTTCCTCAAAGAGTAAAGCATAGGGGCACCTGGGTGGCTCTGTCAAGTGTCCTCTTGATTTCAGCTTGTGCCGGGCCTAGTCTCAGGGTGTGGGATCAAGCCCCGTGTCCGGCTCTATGCTGGGCGTCGAGCCTGTTTGGGATTCTTTTCTCTCCCTCTCCCGCTCCCCCATCGTTCACATGCATGCTTTCTCTCTTTCTCAAAAAAAAAAAGAAGTAAAGCCTAGAATACCTCTATCTTTGAGGTATGTCCCTGAAAGAACTGAAAAAATGTTCGCACAGAAGCTCAGACGTGAGTGTTGCAGCAGCGTTGTTCATAACGCTAACAAAGGGAAAACAGCCCGGATGTCCATCCGTTGTAAGCGCGTAAATAAACCATGGGGCATCTGTGAGTCAAGTATGCAGCCCTAAGAGGATGCGGGGCCGTTACACGCCGCAGCAGGGAGGAACCCTGAACGTGGTCGAAGTAGAAGAAGCCAAGCAGGAAAGGCCACTTATGTATGGTTCCATTCACACGACATTACAGACAAGAAGTCTGTCTTTCGTGGGTGCCAGGCCTGGAAAGAGGGAAAAATCGAGACTAACTGCTAGTAGGTCCAGGCGAAAGAAATGCAAAAGTACCCGGTGGTGATGTTTGCATAGCCCAGCGGATGTGCGAAAACCATCAAATGCTCTGCTTGAGAGTGGTGGCGTGTAGGTGACATGAATTACATACCGCTAAACGGATGAAAACTGAAAAATGCCACTGTATAAATATGCATGTTTAATGATTATTTTAGCGGTTTCCGATAAGCATGTTTGTGTCCTGTGGACAGGCCGGCAGAAGTCGATACCGTGGACGGGTTCCAGGGCCGGCAGAAGGACTGCGTCATTGTCACGTGCGTCAGGGCGAACACCGCGCAGGGCTCAATCGGGTGAGTGCCGCGGGCCCTCCGCTTGTCTGCGGTCTCGAGTCACGTCCCTTTCCGCTCGCTGCTGGGGATGCCGTTCGTTGCAGTATTTTCCTTTGTCAAAAACTCGTGTCACTTCATGAAACTTTGTTGTTTCACTTGTGGAGTTGATCCACTGTCACGCCTGCTTCTCGTGGACCTTGTCTGTCGCCTGCCTCCAAGGGCGGCCTGTTCTTTGGCTTCCTAAGAGTGACCGTCTCTTGGCTCGGGGTGGTCGGCCTGTCTTCTCCATGATCTGTCACGGAGTGGCTCTTCATCTTCCCTGTGTTTTTGTGCTTTGCTAAGTTTGTGAACCTTGACTCCTGTCAGTTTACTCACTGAAGATGCCAAGGACGCTATAGCAAGTGACAGGAAACTCCCAAGTTTCAGAGCCCTGACACTGGTGTGGCTGCTTTCTCCCGCTCTTGAGGAATGGGTGAAATTTGCAGATTAGAAATGTATTTCCTTACTCTTAAAGGAAATAGTGACGTGAGTTCCCTCCGCCCCTGTTTGGAGAGAGTCTACACAGACAGGTGGGGCCCTGGCATCTCTGGGGCGTCCTGTGAAGCAGAACGGTCGCCGCCTTCACACAGCCGTTCTGTTATCTCCGAGCCCTCCTCAGATCTCGTGGTACCTTTTCCTGATAGGTGCATGCTTCTGCTCGCCTCCACAGCATTTTACTGATCCTCACACAGATTCCAAATAACTGACTAGTAGCGTATTTTTAGGATGTCTCTAAAGCTTAAGAATGCTACCTTAAATTTCCCAGTATCTCCTCCAAGGCGGAACACGAGCCTGGCGGACGGATGCATCACTTTGAAGGAAAGCTCCAGGCCTTTCGTTTCCAGGTTTTAATGGGAATGGCTGCTTTGCCGGGGACCCTGTGTTGGGAAGAGGGAGGAAGCGAGGCACTGTTAAAGGAGGAGAAGGAGCCCCAGGACAGCCGTCTGAAGCAGCGTCTGTGTCCCTGCACTCACGCTAAGTCACTCTGCGTCAGGAAGTAACTTCGCTTTTGTCACTTAGGTTTCTGGCGAGTTTGCAGAGACTGAACGTCACCATCACACGAGCCAAGTACAGCCTCTTCATCCTCGGACACTTAAGGACCCTCATGGTAGGTGCATTCTGGGAGCAGAGTGCTCCGGAGTTCGCCCAGCGTGACTGATACTGGGTTGAGCTTTTGTCTCTGTTTTCCATGAGTGCAGAATTGATGCGGGTTACAGAACAGTGAGCTGCTTCCCCCGGCTGCCCTGTCCTTCAGCAGCTTCTGCCTGGGAGCGTTCGCGGATGTAAACCACTAACCCTGTCCCAGTCCGAGGCCCACACTCTCCACAATTTTAAAAAAAATACGTCTCCGTCCTAGGACTGTTGAGCTCTGTAAAGCCACCCATATGTGGAAAGTGCTAGCACAGTTGCTGGCACTCAGCGGACACTCAGCTACTGTGGCTGTTACTGGTCCAGCTTAATGCCAGCTCGAGGGAGCTTGGATCTTTTCTGTCTTGGCACTGGGAGCTCGCTGCCTGCTCTGTGTCGCTTGGGTGGGGGGAGGCGGGGCAGGTTCACATCTGACCAAGGGTGCGGCCTCCGTTGGTGATAGCACAGCTAACCGGCCCGGGTGTTTGCTGCTTGCTTCGTTAGCGGTCGTTAACTTTGAATTCTTCTCATTTTTGTGTTTCACAAAGTCCGTGGTTATGTTAGGAGAGGAGCGGAGCTAATGCATTAGATTTTTTCCACTAGTTTTCCCCGTGTTTTCTGGTATATACCACCAGAGGGCATTCAAACACAGTCTTTCTCATTCAGTTTTTCCCTACATCTGTGGTCTTCAGTTTCTGTAGTTTGTGTGCCCCCTTGAAGGACTCTTTAAAAGCTGCATACCACCTATTTTTAAGTTGATATCAAAAATTTGTTATGGTAAGTTTAAGTATTGTTTAAGATTTTGTTTTGAGTATATTACAAATATTGACATTGTAAAATAAAACTTAAATCTTTACATCACTCTTAAATGAATCCATTGGAAAAAATTGGACTCCTGGTCCGACTTTTTATAGAATTGTTTTCCCTTGTACCATGAGGATCTAAGTGTTAAAAAATGGTTTCTCATCAGTTGATGAACCTATTAGAATTACTTTTTTTACACAGTTGAATGTTGGTAATGTTTTAATCTGAAAGTTAAAAGGTGGTTAGAGCTGTGTGTCTCCTAGCGACACCCTGATTGAAGGAGCCTGCCTGGGCACCCCTGTTTTCACTGCCCCCCTCAGGCACCCAGGAGTCTGCTTGTGCCCTGGCGGCCGCATTGCGCCCCGTGGAGAGACTGGGGATGGGCAAGTCGTGACTGTGCAGGACGGAGTCGGGGCGGGGGAACCCCCAGGAGCAGGCAGGGAGCTGGGGCGTCTGCACCCTTGGAAGCCAGTGGCACAGAAAGGCACAGGAAGAACAATAGGAAAACTCCCAGTGTATCCCTTGGGCTGGTTTTTTGTTTGTTTGTTTGTTTGTTTTTAATTCTTACCCCAGTTTCCCTTATAGAAATGGAATCAGTGGTGAAGGCACTTGATTTCCTCTGAGAAACCAAGAGTAACAGCCCATTCCCAAAACTGTTTTTGTGATCCTAGGATCGGATTAAACACCAAGTTGAGGTGCTGTAGACTTGGCAGAAATAGCAGCAAGGCCATCTGCTTCACGTCACAGCTGCATTTCAGCCTCAGGGGGAGACGCTCTGGTGCGCTCCAGAGTGAGGAAGAGGTCCGAGCCCCAGGCCCGGGAGTGCTCCTGTGGACTATCTGGTGCTCCCCAGGCCTCTGCGTGTGCATTGTATGTGAGCCTTTTGCCCTCACAGAATCCCAGTCCATCTGATCCAAGAAGCCATTATGAGAGGAATCATTATTTTATGTACTACTATTAAACTGTGATATTTTATTTTCACGTAGAATTTTTATATTAAAAGAACTCTTCTAGGCTTGTTTTGACAAGACAGACTTTTATCCTATCGCCCTTGTTCATACGTAAAAGAGAAAGTACAAGCAAGATGAGTAGGCCGCAGAATTCCTGAAAGGACTTCACTTTCTGAGTCTAGCACTCCAGAATCGTTCCCCAGGTCATAGTCACACATGTCCTCATTCCCGCCACAGACTGTTCCCCACGCAGTCGGAAGCGTTGGGGACTCCGCATGGTCTCCGGGCTCCTCTTCCAACTCCTGGTCTCATTCTCCCAGGCAGTAGTGCTGCTACTTTCTTATCTCCTCAGAAGGTGCTGTGGATAGGTTTTTAGGCATGCTGGGACTCATTCTTTAAATGGTTTATTGACTGAAAGTCAAGGAGTTGCTGTTGCCGAGCCATGAATTCCTCCAGGGTTAGCTACTTAGAAAGTGCTGCCTGGCCAGGAGGTGCCGCAGGTCAAGAAATGGTAAAATGTGAAAATGATGTGCATTTTAGAGTTAGTTAAATAAAACATTATGCCCATTTTACAGATGAGGAAACAGGCTCAGAGAGGTTAACTTGACCAAGGTCATGCAGCAAGTAAGTACTGCTACCCTCACCCAGTTTTTTGAATAGGGCAGGAGGCCCCGCGAGGGCCGCTGTTGTCTTCTTTCTAAAGAGGCCAACGTTCTGATGGTTGTAAAGCAGGTTATTGCTGAGGAGAGTCTAGCGGGAAGAGAGGAGCGAGGAGTGCAGCTGGGGTTTCCTTCTCCTTGGGCATGCTTTCGCGACTTAAATTCCTCCAGAAAAGAGACCAGACCGTGGGAAAAGTCTGTGGAATAGTTGTCTCCGTGGACGAAGACAGTTTAGCCCTTTGGAGTCTGGGAGGCCTTTGGGAATTCAGTGAAGGCTGTGGGACTCTTTCTAGAATAGTCACACACACACCCAAAAGTTAGGGCTCTCTGAAACCAGGCCTTCCTGCTCCACAGTGTTAGCCTTTCGAGAGAGAGGCAGGACTCTAGGTCAAGTGTCCGGGGGATCTTCCTGGGGTGACAGAGCTGTCCTGTGTCTACTCCATCCAGCACACGAACTGCTAGGCACGTGTGGCCCCCGAGAGCCACGTGGTGAAACGGCGGACATTCTTTGTCCCAGGCAGTGACCGGTGCTCTTTTCTGGTAACATGGCTTCGGGGTTCTGTATTTGAACTTATTTTTCTTTAATGGATTCTTGAGAATCTGTTTGCGAAGTGTATTTGTTGCTACTCAGAAACGGGAGCAGAAACTCACGCTTCCCAAGCCTCTGAGTATTCTGGGCCTGTGATTGTTTCTCCCTCCTCTGTTTCCAGGAGAACCAGCACTGGAACCACCTGATCCAGGACGCCCAGAAGCGGGGCGCCATCATCAAGACGTGTGACAGGAACTACAGGCACGACGCCGCCAAGATCCTGAAGCTGAAGCCGGTGCTGCAGAGAAGCGTGACGCACCCCCCCGCTGTCGTCCCGGAGGCGTCCAGACCCCCGGGCGGCTTGCCCAGCAGCAGGCTGGACAGCGAGCTCGCCAAGACGTCCTTCACGTCCCTCTACCACACGCCCTCGGACTCCAAGGAGTCTGCTGGTACCGTCACGGCAAAGGACCCTGAAAGGCCCCTTATTCAGGACCGGCTTCGGGACCCACGACTGCTTAGGAGGCTGGGCCTGGACCCTGAAGCCAGAGGGCCGTGCCTCAGGGATCCGCAGCCCTCGAGCCCCCAGCATCCCGGGGCGACACCGCCCTCGGGGGAGCCGGGCTTCCCCGGGAGTCCCCAGGATCTGGGAGGCGCACAGCCGTCCACTGCCAGGGGGGCCGTTCTGAACAACAACAAACCTCAGGCGCACTATGAACCTCCAGCTGCTGGGACCGAGGTCTCTGCAAGTAAAAGAAGATGTGACTGGGAAGAAGGGCTCAGCTCCAGGAGAGAGACGCGGGCTTTCAGTGAGGGGGACCAGGAGAAGTGGAGCCCGGAGAGCCACCACTCGAAGAGGAACCCTGGCTGGGACAAGAGGGGACTGGAGAAGGAGGATGGCAGCTCAAAGAGAAGAAGGCTTTTATAGTAAAGCCAGTGGCACAGACTGTCAGCCACCGCGTCGTTGCAGACTTAAGATGACCAGCTCACGGGACTGTCCAGATGAGTTTTGTTTTTTTTTTTTTCTTAAAGGAGTTTGCGTGCCATTGGGAAACATGGAAAGTGCACCCTGACCCCTGGGCCTCGTGGTCATCTGCCGTAGCTATCAGTTGCAGACGCTTTCAAGGGCCTTTGTGTGTCTGCAATATTGTCCTTGAAGTCGGAGACTTCGAATGTTGATCCCTTGTTCTAAGATAAGGGGTCAGACGGGGCGGGTGTTGTAGAAGTTGAAATGTATATTTGTATAGCAAATAACAAATCGTTTTAAAATTTAATCTAGTAGACTGCTTTTCTTTCTCCTGCTTAAAATGTTGGTCACTTTCGAGAGAACAAACTTTATATTCACAAAAAAAAACAAAAAAAAACAAAAAAAAAACAGGAGGAGGACAGGCCCTTTTCAGACCTGTGCACAGCACAGGTTCTGGAGGAGGCCGAGTTCAAGCGGTGGGTCAGACGGCTCCGGTTCTAGTTCAGAAAACAAGTGTCGTCTCCTGGGGGAACCTGTGGGCAGCTGAGTTGTGTTAGGTGCAGATCTGCGGACATCGGACGTTTTCCGATGAGGCTTCTTGGCCCAGGGTAGTCGCCCGCCCTGCCAAGGCCAGCCGCCTGCTCCAGGCCGCTCATGGTTTTCTAGCTGAAATCCGAGTTCCCCTTGAAATAGACGAAGATGAAACGAAAGAAGAATTCTTGACCCACCATTCAGGTGCGCCTGGCGGAGTGTGGGTGTCCTGTAGCTGGTGGGGGACGGGTCCCATGGTTGCCGGGTCTGGAGCCCCGCGGGGGAGCCTGGGGAGCTGCATGTTAGGCGTCTCCCCAGGGGACCTGGTCACTGACCCGGCGGCTTAGGATCCAGGAGGGCCGGCCAGATGGAATACTGTAGGCGGGAAAGAAACAGCTCTTCCAGGGAGAAGGCTGAAGGGAAGTGCAGACGGGAAGTTGGGACCAGGAAGAGAGTTGACAAGTTTCCTGTGATCTTTGGAGACTGTGCTGCCTGATGAAAAGACGCCACTGTTGCAGGGTGGTCTGTTAGAGGGGCTTCTGCTTGGAACGTGGTGCCCTGCGGAAGGGGACGTTTGAGTACGTGCACGGGGTGCGGGGCGGGTGGTCTCTCGTGGCGAAGTCCAGCTTTCCAGACACACACAGACATGAGAATGTTGTAGCCACAGATGGCGCTTGTCGGAACTAGTGGTTTGTGGGGAAGGCTGTGCCGCCCGTCAGCGAATTTGGGGAGGGCAACAGATCGCGCAGATCAGTGGGCACCGTTTGAAATTTTCCCAGCTGCTTTTAGGCAGAGGGTTTTGTGTCAAATTCTACTGAAGCTTGTTATTAAAAGCTTTAAATGTTTGGCAAAAGTGTAAACATTCTGCTTCTTCATTACCCACATCGCCCCCATGGGGGTCCGGACACCTGGTGACGTCGAGTGGATCCCCCCGGCCCTCAGGGAGCACATGCTCCGGCCCCACGGTCCCCCTGCTCCCTGTGTGCCCGCAGAGGGCGGGTCCTCGGCCGGCGTGAGTGCAGGGCGAGCCACACCCCGGCCAGCCAAGGCCTCTGTGAGCCTCCTGCTTGTGCCTTTGGCCAGAAACGTCTTTGTTACTTTGATTGACTTTCCTATTACTCCTCTTGAGCAAATTCTTGGTGTTAGCAGTTCAAAGGGTCTAAACTCCGTTTAGGGAGTTCCCCATTCCCAGGCTGTGGACTTCACTGCCATGCCCGGACCAAGGTCCTCAGTGAGCCTGTCCTCACCCACCGTGTCCCATCTGCTGGTTCCCCATGCTCCCCTGGAGGAGCCTGTGTCTGCCAGCCTTGCCCCACGAACACAGCCTACCTGGCACTGCACTTGAAACTGTTTTTCCAGTTGGTAAGACAATGTTGGCATAAAGTGTCTCACATGCACTGCCCCCGCGCGTCAGTGGTTCTTGCCCTCCTTGCAGAGGGAGGGCTACGGCTCTGCTCTGTCCTTAGCCGTGGCGCTACAAGGACTCATCCTGTCTCCACTAGTCATTCTTCCACGAGGAGGATGTTCTGCTTAAAAGCTTGTTTTGCTGCTCTGTGTATAATTTTCCTTGAATTTATGTGCTGGTTTATTTGGTTCTATGTTTTCACGTATCACCAGGAGCGAATGTGATAAGCACATATGAGTAACCTCCTGTAAATGGATTTTATAACAACTGTACTAAACTATTTTCTTAAAATTAGTTGCGCAGATGATAACGTTTTGCTGCAGCTTTGACTCTTTCCGTGCTCTGGGTTCACAGCTGGGACGTAGTAAACAGTAGCCCTCTTTGTGAAAACGTCCATTTTAAGAGAAACTGGTGAAATTGAAACCAGAAAACTGGCCTGAATTAGGTGGGATTCAGGGCCCGTGCGCTCAGCAGCGGGCTCTGCCGCTCAGCCGCCACGTGGTCTGTCCGGAGGAAGTGTGTGGCAGGGATTTGCTTTATTCAGGTCTGTTCTCCAGCCCCCCTGCCGCCCCTTCCAAGCTCTTGGGGTAATGGAGTGTCATCTGTGAGGTCACAAGGTGTGTCACCACCAGCCCTGTGGCCAGTCCTCTTTGGGAGCTTGGCCCGACAGAAAAAGACGCTCACCTCCAGGCAGAGGCTGGGGAGGGTGGGGGAGGCCGGACGGGCGCGAGCGGAGCTCCCAGAGGCAAGACGGGTGCAGACGTCCAAGTCGGGGTGACTGCCGGTGGCCACAGAGGTGGGGCACGCTTCCTACGAGTCGTGGCTGCGGGTGCGGTGTGGGACTCGGCCATGCTCCTAGCGGAGGGCGCTGGCTCGTTCCAGATGCCGGAGCAAGTCCCCAGCAGGGCGAAGTGATGGGGGCAGGGGTGAGAGACCAGGGCTCCGATGGCTGTTTCGTCCATGGAACTCATTACCGCCGCATCTGTGGCAGGGATTTTTAAAGGCCCTCCTGCCCGACACCCACCCACGCAGGCCCCACCACCTCCCAGGGGTCGCCATTCATTCTTTGAGGAATGAATAATTCAGGGAGGAAGCTGAAACTGAGCTTCGGCTTAGGCAGAATTTACGTGTTGTGCCACGCAGCAGCACTTTGTGTACTCAGGGGACCCGTCTGTCACCCACCCTGGCCTGTACGGAGGCATCTGCCACGTCAAGGGGCATAAATGGTATCCGTAGACAGATGGGGTGCTGGAGGCCCGCCGGGCAGTCCGTGTAGGCCCTGCTCCCGGGCGCTCAAGCTGGGCTGTGCTGGCGGACGGGGCCACCTTTGTGCTGCAGCTCCGTTCCCGCAAAGAGAGGTGTTAGCGTGTCGTTTTCTTTTTTTAAATTTGCGTTTATTTTTTTAATTTCAGTGTTCCGTTGTGTCATTTTCAACCTGGGGACCCACTTCGGAGTCACCCGGAGAACTCTGGAAGAGTTCCACTCCTAGGCTCTGCCCAAGGGTTTCTGACATAAGGGGTCTGGGGCCCAGCACTCACTGCCTGTTTTGTTCCTTTCTTTTTTTTTGAAACTCTTAAACTCCCTCGCAGGTGATTCCGCGGAGCAGCCTGGCTCCTAGGGATCAGGAGCGAGGAGCAGCCCTCAGGCCCGTGGGGGTCACATCTGCCTCCCTCAACGCATTGTCCCCCCCAGGAGCCCCAGACAGGGCCAAGCCCACCACGAAAGGCCATCAGGGGGCCTTCATTTTCGCTCAGATGACGGTTCCCAAGGACAGCAGGGAGGGGGGAGGGGTGGGGGGAAGGAGAACGGGAAACCACTCGGGGGACTCTGGGCCGTTAGAAGGGAGGACATCCGGAGGGAGTCCGCGTGGCCAACGAAGCCTCGAGAAGGCAGCCAGTCTGGCGCTGGTCCGGCGGGGAAGGCCGTGTAGCTGTTGTTTAGGCGAGGAGACCCCAGCGCCGGGGCTCCACGTGGGATCGAAGCCACGCATGGCCAAGTCCACTGGGCACATGCACTCCCCTTCGTGATAGCTGGAGTTTTCCCACCAAGCGCTGACATCCGAGCCGCCTTTGTCCCTGCGGGGACTTGCCCGGGGTGCTGGAGCTGAGAACTAGAGGAGCTACGGTTCCGGTGACCGGAAAGCCGTTGCTCATGACCCCTACGGTAGGTGCCAGCAGGACAAAGGGCCAGGCTGACCCCATGCACAGAGACGGGCCTGAGAGGGACTCGGTCTTGACTGGACAGGAGCAGCTCGGCCTTAGCTCCGCCCTGGCCACCGGCAGCCTCCAGGGCCTTCACTCAACCTGAACGTGGAAATTGGGGTTTGAGTTCTTTTTCTGATTCTTTTCACCAGTAGGTTCCAAAATCAGGCCCCCATCCCCGGGGTTCTGGGGAGGAAGAGGCTAAGCGCGCGCGGTGGGTGTCTGTCCCCACGCATTCGGGCTGCTGTAACAAAATCCCAGGGACTGGGCGCCTTCCAAATGTCCTCGGCCCGCTCCGGAGCCCGGGAGTCCCAGGTGTCTGGTGACGGCCTTGTCCTGCCATGTCCTCACATGGTGGAAGGTGCGAGGGAGCTCTCTGGGGCCTCTCTCTCATGAGGACACAGACGCCACTCGTGAGGTTCTATCCGCATAACCTAATCACCTGCCACAGGCGCCACCTCCTGTCACCATCGCTTGGGGGGCAGAATGTCGACGTGGGAACGGGGGAGAGGGGGACACAAACATCGTTCCACGGCAGTCCGCACATTGTCGGCTTGGGTGGGCAGAACTCGCCGCAGGTTTGCTTTTGGACGGGGCGCGGGAGACCCCGCGTGACACCAGAGGCGAGAAAAGCTGCAGCCTCTGGTCAGCTTCTCCAGCACCTGGGCCAGGAAACTGTCCGGCTCCAGGACAGAGGAACCCAGCTTCTCCCGGGGGACAACCCCTGTCTCCGGCAACGCGGGCAGGTGGGCAGGGGCTCCAGTCCACCTCACGGCTTCCAGCTTGCCCTCACTCTCCCCCTTCCCCTCCCTCTTCCTCCCCTAACTGCCCGCCTGTGGACTCCGAGCTCCAGCCCGAGGCTTGAACACGACTGCCTCAGCCCTATAAGGCCAAGTCCAGGAGATATGATACCTGATGTTGATTTCTTTTTAAAGATTATTTATTTATTTATTTGATAGAGATCACAAGTAGAGAGGCAGGCAGAGAGAGAGAGGAGGAATCAGACTCCCCGCTGAGCAGAGAGCCCGATGCGGGGCTCGATCCCAGGACCCTGAGACCATGACCCGAGCTGAAGGCAGAGGCGGCAGAGGCTTTAACCCACTGAGCCACCCAGGTGCCCCTGATGTTGATTTTTGACAGGAATTCCGCTTAACCGAACTCCCAGACACG